ATCCAAAGTAAAGAAAACGTATACTATTGAAAAAAATAATAAAGCGTGCTTATTTTTCAAACTGTAGTCCTTGTTTCATTTCTTTCTTCTAATATATCAACCGAAATAAATTGCAGCTGCATTGAGTTTAAATTGAATAACACAGTAACACGGGTATAACATTCAAACGGTAAAACAATGACAATTAGTTTATTTTGTCGGAAACATTGTGATGATAAACGGCAATTATACTCAAAATCAAATCTTTAATCTTCAGTCAACAGCGTCGTGGCTCATTTTTTTAAACGAAATATTCGTCAACATTTTTAAGGACGCATAAAGAGTCCCATATTCTAGGCTACAAGTCCGTTTTAAAGATCACCTAGGTTCTTAAGGATTTCAAAGTGTGTATTTCTATAATCAACCATGAAATTATTAAGGACATCAATTATTTTGTTAATTTAAAATTAAAGGACTATCCGAACCTTTGGTATATTGATTAAACTGTTCAAGTCATTTGCGGGAAAACTGCAATACTCTCCAAACAATAATAACCGATCAACAACTTCTGAGAAGAGTTCACAGGGGTTCAGTAACTGTTGCTGGGTGAAAATTCTGACCCCGACCTCATGCATTACGATGTTGGTAGTTATAATCATTCACCCATCATCGTCACTCTCCTTCTCAGACCCTACCAAATATCATACCGGTATCTGGTTCTCATCTTGAATATAAATTTATAAAAATATATAATTATAAAGCTTGATATTAAGCAAACAATCAACCAATCAATGAGTCAACCTACCAATAAGCAAGTTAATTCGTGTTGCCCAGTCTGAATTTTATTGCTTGATGTTGTGTGGACTGTTGTTTGTCCGTTCGTGCTTGGTGGCAACTTAACTTACCCGTTGGGAATGCCTCTTGGGAATAGTATATCTTCTCCCGGCCATTTTTAATCAACCACTTAAACAGCCAAATCAATCAATTATGCTTTTAAAAGCAAAATTAGCACACTTAACAACAGGTACTTGTCTCTAAAAAAATACCTATAATACATGTACCTTAATTTATATAACATTAAAGTATACAGGTAATTTGTTTTCAGAGACAAGTGCCTATGCACTTAACAGGAGGACTGAACCATGTAAAGATACCCAATACTATCTTTTAGAAGTATAATAATAATACGAATTGCTATTTCAATTTGTATTTGCATACATTATCATATACTTGATATGATTTATCTATCGGGGGCCGTATCAAACTGATATTTGATATGCACCCGGTTATCACAGACGAGGAACGTTTCAAAACAATTGTTTAGCTTAATGTTTATCAAGTGGACTTTTGGACACTGGCGGAGGCGACACGTATCTTTCACATATGAATTTATTACAAACTGACTTTTAGATAAAAAAGGTATGCTTAATATAATATATAATATTTTCATATAATACTGAATTAGTTTGTACATTAATTTTAAACAATTACCAGTTGTAGCAGTTTGAAATAACTGACATTTTCAGGTGCAGATCCAGGATTTTGAAAGGGAGACCTGACAAGCCAACGTTTGGAGGGATACTTGTAAAAAGTCTGTACATTTATATATGAAGCTCCATAAAGGGAGACCCACCTGCCCTCAAAATTCGTCTCTGATTTTTCTAATTCGGTCAAAGGGATTTTTTGTTACTCGTGTAAATACCGGAAAGTTGATGTTATCCAGCTTATTGTGTCTCAACGACATATTTAAAAGATGGAAATTAAATATTTTCTATATTACAAATACCACTAGAAATAAATGTTACTCGTCCTGTAGTATGTTACTCGTCCTGTGGTATGTTACTCGTCCTGTGGTATGTTACTCGTTCTGTGGTATGGTGCACACAATAATTTGATACAATGGTACCAATTTTGGCTAAAAAGAAGTGGGGGCAATTTCTCCCAATAACTTATTTTACACAAAAACTCTTTTCTAAAAGTCCTTCAGTCTTTTTTAAAGTTCATATTATATATATGAGGGTCTGGATGGGATTTACAGAATAGAGAATAATGGACAAAATGTACAAAAAATAAAGAATAGAGAAAAAAAAGGGTAAAAAATAAAGAATAGAGAATATAATGGTTGGCTAAAATATAAAGAATAGAGAATATTGGGCCAAAAATATATGGAATAGAGAAAATTGACATAAAAAATTAACGAATACAGATATGAAAAACCCCCCATCTAGACCCTCATATATTCATCATACATAAGGATGTACATGTATGAAAAGGACAACCATAATCAATACAGAAATTCTATGGATGTTAAATGTATTGTCCTTGCCAATGAGACAACTATCCACCAAATTTCAAATGAAGTGGATGTGAGCAATTATAGGCAACCGTACGGCCTTCAACATTGAGAAAAACACATACCGTATAGTCGGCTATAAAATGCTTTGAATACATATATAATTCATTTTGAATAGGACTGGATACAGATATCCTTCGGTGCAAAATCTGACACAAACATGAACAAATATGTTACATTGTCTTTTGCGGCAATGTATTTTATTGTGTCTATTTAATCATAATGTGTACACTTTTAACAATTTGTGTGATAATATCAGATAGATTCTTTATTATTCTAATATTAGAACACCATATGAAATAAGAAGATGTGGTATGATTGCCAATCAGACAACACTCCATCAGAGACTAAATAACGTAGAAGTAAGAAACTATAGGTCACCGTACGGCCTTCATCAATGGGCAAAACCAAGAGCAGGCTATAAAAGGTCCCGAAATGTCAAATTTAAAACATTTTTAAAAACGAAAAAAAAAAACTAACGGCCTGATTTTTGAACAAAACAATAAACGAAAAATGAATATGCTATACACCAACAAACGACATCCACTGAATTAAAGGCTCCTGACTTGGGACAAGCACATACAAAATGTGGCGGGATAACAAGCATTTGCGGGGGTACAACCCTTCTTTTACCCACTGAGACAGAGGTGTAACATCACAACATCAGACCAAACAATATAAATCAGGTATAACGTTGTCAAAACATCACATGAAGCTGTGAAATTTTGAATTAAAGAAAGAATTACAAAAATTCTTCTGGTCAAGTAAAATGTGTGGGATTTCACTCTTTCTATTTTTACATTTTCTTTCCTTATATCCTGCAGAGGAGAATTGCTTTCTCCTTAAGGAAATGCAACTAGCCACAAAACGAAATTATCAAAAGAACAAATAAGGGCCTGGATGGGACGAATCCTTCATTACTTTATTCTTTTATACATTTTTCTCTATTCTTTATATTTCAGCACCCTATCATTCTCTTATTCTTTATTATTTTGGCCTTTTTTTCTCTATTCTTTATATTTTTTGCCCTTTTTTTGCACTTGTGCCCATTATTTTCTATTCTGTAAACCCCATCCAGACCCTTAGGAATGATATACAGAATCCCATCCAGATCCTTAGGAATGATATACAGAATCCCATCCAGATCCTTAGGAATGATATACAGAATCCCATCCAGACCCTTAGGAATGATATACAGAATCCCATCCAGACCCTTAGGAATGACATACAGAATCCCATCCAGACCCTTAGGAATGATATACAGAATCCCATCCAGACCCTTAGGAATGATATACAGAATCTCATCCAGACCCTTAGGAATGATATACAGAATCCCATCCAGACCCTTAGGAATGATATACAGAATCCCATCCAGACCCTTAGGAATGATATACAGAATCCCATCCAGACCCTTAGGAATGATATACAGAATCCCATCCAGATCCTTAGGAATGATATACAGAATCCCATCCAGACCCTTAGGAATGATATACAGAATCCCATCCAGACCCTTAGGAATGATATACAGAATCCCATCCAGACCCTTAGGAATGATATACAGAATCCCATCCAGACCCTTAGGAATGATATACAGAATCCCATCCAGACCCTTAGGAATGATATACAGAATCCCATCCAGACCCTTAGGAATGATATACAGAATCCCATCCAGACCCTTAGGAATGATATACAGAATCCCATCCAGACCCTTAGGAATGATATACAGAATCCCATCCAGACCCTTAGAAATGATATACAGAATCCCATCCAGACCCTTAGGAATGATATACAGAATCCCATCCAGACCTTTAGGAATGATATACAGAATCCCATCCAGACCCTTAGGAATGATATACAGAATCCCATCCAGATCCTTAGGAATGATATACAGAATCCCATCCAGATCCTCAGGAATGATATACAGAATCCCATCCAGATCCTTAGGAATGATATACAGAATCCCATCCAGACCCTTAGGAATGATATACAGAATCCCATCCAGACTTTAATGACAATGGTTAAACATTTTGTTGAACTGATAAATCCTAGACATTTTCAGAAATATCAAATGTTTCAAAGTCTCTGTCAAATTTGAAAAAAACTTTTATAGACAGGAACCGATTGAAAGTTTGGCATATTTAATTACATTATGGACATGTATAGAATATCGTATTTTAACCGAGTTCTATCTCATTGATGGATATCTCCACTTTTTTATTCATACGAACTCACACATGATTTTTGTTTTAATTTGGGGATTGTTTGACGATTCCATGTTTGTAGACATTGAATCTTGGACGTTGTGTCTGTATGTATTATTCGTTCGTATCCGGGGGGTTCAACCATAACGAAAGCATGACAAACCATTCATGAATGACTATTATACAAGCGTTCGGTTCGAGAAACAGACAAGTGCTGGTACTAATTAGTAGGAAACGTCGTATTCCATTGACCAAAAAAAAAAAATAAAAAATGTTGACGTCATTGTTTAAGATTATTCGGTCCAGTAAGTAAAGAAATCGGCGTAAATATTTTACTCATTACTGCTCAATGAATATTAAATGTTATTAACAAAAAAATAAATGTATTGAAATGTTAACTTTTTTCTATTTCCTTTTTCAAATATGTTAAAACTGTCTTCTTTCAAAAAATTTTTTTCAGACAAAAATGTGGTATTGTTTACTTCTTGCCCTTCTGGGTACAACATTTGCTCAAAACTCAGGACCAAAGCATGGACAGGATAACTCTATCTGTACAGTTTCACCTACTCCGCCTTTGGGAAGTAAGTTATTATTTAGTCAAAGAAAACTCATACAAGGGTTGCTGATGGCACGGTAGTATTTCCTTGGCCATAGGGCTAATGACAGCCTTTTTAGAATTTTCACCACTTTTTTACACTGCCCAAGAACCTACATACACAGTTAACTGAAGTAATTTCATTATAATATTCAGAAAAGAATTTGAATATGTATGATGACAGTTTAGTTTTTCGGCTATCTTTACAAACATAAGGCCACTTAGCCTAGTGCTTTTAGTCTTTTACCATGCAGTGACTACAAAATTTAAAACAATTCTCCAAAACTGATTTTCAGCTGTATGTAAAATTATTTCATATTTTTCTACACCTGATAATTAGTGGAAACTAAAATTGTTTTGCCAAACCACAGTGTTCAGATACATTGACTTAAGAAGGTACACAAGAAAGCAACCTAGTTATCCGAATGCAAATACTACCGTGCCACATGCTACAGCCGCCTACATAAAACTAAAACACAGTTAGAAAATTTAATATGTATAAATTATTATATTCTGTAGGAACTCAAATATAAATTATCAGTCGTGTATAATGGAAAAAAAAACAATTTAAAAATAGTGATGTTTTATGCTTACAAAAGAGAAACCACTCACTAAGGAGTTCGCCGCTTACACAAAACTGGGGGAAAACAGTTTAGAAAAATTAATGTGTGTAATCTATATTGGTCTGTAAGACAGCAAATATATCGGTCGTGTGTAATTGTAAAAAAAATAAATTTCTAAATGCTAATGTCTTATGCTTAGAACAGATAAATCTAAGATACCGGCCGATCCGCTCTTGTATGATACATCATGATTAAGTTATATATATACATGTAGCACGCCTCTTGCGAATTAACGTATTAATTCACGAAAAGCGTAGTTTTGAATGGATTAAATATGTAACTTTTTGTTAATGGGTAAGGCGTGTCTATATATGATTTGTAACATTAATGGGCGATGACACATGTCAGCGGTCAAACTTAACTGTACTTTTCATGAATTAGATATGTCAATCAAATAGTGGCGCTTTCTATGACAAACTGACTCTTATTTTCAGAAAATGATCTCATGGATCGGACTTTTTAGTTGGATTTGATTAAATGATAGATGTACATGTAAATGAATTGTTGCCGTGATACTTTCATCAAGGTTTAAAGACCGGGGTGCGATTTATGTGTTATTGAAGTGCCTCCTCCCTACCCCCACCCCCGTGACGTGAAGTTTTAGAAGAGGTAAACGAAGGAAACTTTTAAGACTTATTGTGAAGGTATTCTGCCTTTCCCAACACCATGAAAATAATCGCTTAATAGATGGGCTGTTGATTGCATAAGACTCAGAGATAAATATTTTAAGCATGCTCAATTCACGAAGAATACCTTTAAAAAGTGGAGGAAATGAAAGACTAAAAATCCAGTTACAATTTTTTGGGAATATTCATTTTGACACGATAAAAACAAGTATAACATCGCCTTTTTTATAGACCATGTTATTCCTTTTTGTAGCTTTCCTTGTTTCAAGTACAGGAAACCATTTTTAATTTAGAGTTAAGTTTATAAGTTTGACTAGTTTTAGGGTAAGCCCCTCCCCCCTTTTCCCCGACGACTTTTGTTTTTCTTCTGTGTATGCATTTTGTTTAAATTCATTATGCTCATTGATTTCGTGGTAACATGAATGGTAATTTTTCCTTTGATCTTCGAGTGAGTTAACTTCGGTTATTTTAGAGGAGTGCGTTAACTAAATGATTTTTTGGTTACCGCCGTGTGTCGCTTGTCATAGGAAAAGCAAAGAATGTAAAAAGACGTGCTATGAATATATAACTTGTTTACTATAGGCCAAAGAGAAGGAACTAGACAGTGAAATAACAAACTTGAGATGCCATGGAAGTTAGAGAACTGGTCTACGCTCCTCCCATTCTTTGTTTTTCTTATGACAAGCGATACACGGCGGGACTGGAGAGTGCAATAACTAAAAAATCACAGAAGTTAACTCACTCGAAGATCAAAGGAAATACTACCATTCATGTTACAATTCTGATTTATCGTACTATGTTAACACAAGTTTGAACAAACTATAAAGCTAACAGACTCAAGAAGTCTTTATTCAAAAGAAAGAAAAAACCGGAATTTTAAATTTTAGATTTTGTAAAATATGCAAGAATAAATTGACATTTCTTGTTGTAAAAAATATTGGCAAACAGTAGGACGGTCACAAAAAATTAAAAAAAATAAAAAAAAAATCAAGCAAATATAGATATTAGTAGTTACGTTCATGTACTGTTAAATGATTTTTCGGAGAGTTAAAATTTCTCGATTTGTAAGGCAAAACGTATTCTCGTTTTTTAGTTTCGTGTTATTTGTCCTAATATGTTCTTCCTTAAAGGTCAAATTTACAAAACCTGTTTGAGAGGGATTATTTTCCCGCTTTTCCTGTTCGATTTTGGTCTTCCTTTAAGACCAATTTAGGCGAGCGGACATTTTCGTTATTTCGTCTTAATCGCGAGGTATCCCATATAATTAATCCGAACATTTTCTTACTTTCTAATATATACTTTTTACACTTTCAGTCGTATCTAAAACCATGCCTACAGTGTCAAGTCAATTTTCTGCTCACATTGAATGTGTCATAGTGAATAAAAACATGACAACTGATTTACATGAATATTACGATGACACTAATAACAGGGGAGCAGTCCATCAACTCGATCTTGGACTAGAACTGGATGCTTGGTATGATTACAACACGAACGAGTTCATTGCATATTATAAACCTACACGTGAGTATAAATGCTTCCTTTGATTTATAAAAAAAAACTGAGTTGCAAGACATGTACTTAGAGGAACAAGGATTTAACCTTGTCTAAGTGCTACATTTCGTAATTTATAATATTTTGTAAGTAAGATCATTATAAAGGGTAAACTTTCTTTTTTAAAACCGCATCTCTGTGCAGAACCGTTATTTTGTAGATACGTTTTCAAACGAACAAATTAAGTTAAGCCTTTTCAATTCTTTCTAGCTTAAGTGGTTTAATTGGAATACATGTGCACTTTACTTCTCTAAACGAAACCTGCATCTGCCAGTCTCCCGCCGAAGAAACAATGATGTAACTGCATCTGCATCTCTCCAGTGAGTTACATGTTATACTAGTATCTACAAAACATTACTAGTGTTGTGCAACGAATTATCTAAAAAAAAACACGATAAACGTCTGCCCCGAAAAGAAATACTAACCTTTACAAACATTGACTATGATTAAACTTGATAAATTATGCCAACAAATCTCCGAATTAATGCCACAAGATTGGAATGTTTCATTGGTTAGACAATCCATTTCAGGCTATTTATAGCGTTTGTGTGCCACTTTAATTCTATTTTCCAAGCAGCGCAGAAAGTTTTTATCGATACTGTAAACCGACTGATTTTCGCGCATACTTTATTTCGCGTTTGGTTCTTTCTAGACAACTTTCAGGCGATTTATTTTCGCGATCTTCTCATTTTCTTGATATATTTATGTAAGGGAAGATCCAAGTTTCACATATTCGCGACTATTGAAATTCGCGTTATTTGTCAACTCGCGAAAGTCGCGAAAATAAGTTGGATTACAGTATGCATTTCTTTGAATGACATTAACATCAGTTAATTGATATTTGTTGTTGTTATTCATACAAAATGAATGGAGAATGTGTCCATGGGACGCAGATGATGCCCCCTCTTTCATATAACGTTATAAAGGGGCATAACTCGAGAACGGTAATAGTGACGCCACCAAATTCAAACTTGATCTGTATTTTGTAGTAATAAGCATTGTGTATAAGTTTCATAACATTTTGTCGAGGCAAACTAAATTAAGAGAACGGAAACCAAATTTTGGACGTACGCACGGACGGACAAGGGTAACACTTAATGCCCCCTTCATGTGACGGCGGGGGCATACAAAATGCAAAAGATCAATTACTTATCATTTGTATTTCTCCGAAACTCAAGGGTTATTTAGAACTTTATATATTGTACAGACATTTGTTGAAGACCATATACAGATTATAGATATCCTTATTGTCACGGTCGTTGGCGTTGCTGTCCAATCAGCGTATTATCCTCATCTTCATTTATCCTTTAATCTAACTTTAAATCTCCCATTAAATCATTTCTCCCATAATGAGAAAAAACTGTAACGACATCTTATATCTTTTGATTATAGCATTCATTATTTTTTATTAGTTATTTCTAACAATTTTTTCTCTATTCTTTATTTGTTGTCTATTATTCTCTATGATGTAGACCCCACCCAGACCCTCCCCTCCTCTTCATCAGGTACGCTTGAGACATAATACATGCATTTTAAAGCTTTGTGATAATTAAAACATAAAGTACCCAGCAGTCTCTGTAAGGCCAGCTTTGCCTGAATGCATTTTAGTATTTACTATTAGTTTTACTATAAGAACATATTGTTTAGTTAAATAAATGAATTATAAATCTGTTACATTTATCAGAAAATATACGGCTTAACAGAAACATGGTTTTGAGGTTCTGACTTGTCCGAATGCAGCTACTTGTTTTCATTTATAACAAAATGAATTAAAAAATCTTGATTTAGATTTATATCATAATATTTTTTACTTTTAGTAATTTCTATTTCATATGTGTTTATGTCACTTATTTTTGTATTTCTTCAAAAAGCCATTTTTACTTCATCAACGAATTAATCTCCATTGATATGTTGATTGCTGATTGTTTAACGTCCAGTGGCAAATATTTCATGCATATTCAGGAAGATTAATATCCAATGAAGTCACGTTCAACGTGATTACAACGATCAAAGCGAGACAATAAAATGGGGGAAACAAGCTTCCGGGATTTAGCGTATTGCAAAACATTCGTTTGATGTGTTTGAGCTTTTGATTTTGTCATTTGATAAACATGATAAAGGACTTTCCGTTTTGAATTTTCCTTGGAGTTCGGTATTTTTGTTATTTTACTTTTTACAACAGATTAAATGCACTAATATTTTCCATCAGATAATCTTAAATCTTAAAGGCTATGTAAATTCTAACCATGGTTAGAATAAAAAAGTATATTACGTGTCAGTTTCACCCGATGTTTTTATTTATTTTATTAATAGCAATGTTTTTTTAAAGCATTATGAACATCAAATAATTTAAAACCTTGAAGGCTTTATAAGATATAACCTTGGTTATAATAAAACAATATAATACACCCGATGGGTTTATTTTTTTTAGAGCATTGTTTTGTTCAAGCATTAGGAACATCAGATTAGAGATTTTTGTTTGGTTTCAACCAATATGTTCAATTTTTATTTAAGAGCAATGGTTTGTTCAAGCATTTGGAACATCAGATCAAAGAGTTTTGTTTGGTTTCAACCGATATGCTCTATTTTTTATTTCAGAGCAATGGTTTGTTCAAGCATTAGGAGCATCAGATCAGAAAGTTTTGTTTGGTTTCAACCAATCTGTTCTATTTTTATTTTAGAGCAACGATTTGCTCAAGCATAAGGAACATCAGATCAGAGATTTTTGTTTGGTTTCAACCAATATGTTCTATTTTTATTTCAGAGCAATGTTTTGTTCGAGCATTAGGAGGAAAATTAGATCAAAGAGTTTTGTTTGGTTTCAACCAATCTGTTCTATTTTTATTTTAGAGCAATGTTTTGTTCGAGCATTAGGAACATCAGATCAGAGATTTTTGTTTGGTTTCAACCGATATGTTCTATTTTTATTTAAGAGCAATGTTTTGTTCAATCATTAGGAACATCAGCTCAGAGATTTTTGTTGGGTTTCAACCAATATGTTCTATTTTTATTTAAGAGCAATGTTTTGTTCGAGCATTAGGAGGAACATCAGATCAGAGATTTTTTGTTTGGTTTCAACCAATATCTTTTTATTTTATTATTTTAGAGCAATCTTTTGTTCGAACGTTAGGAACATCAGATCAGAGATTTTTGTTTGGTTTCAACCAATATGTTCTATTTTTATTTAAGAGCAATGTTTTGTTCGAGCATTAGGAGGAACATCAGATCAGAGATTTTTTGTTTGGTTTCAACCAATATCTTTTTATTTTATTATTTTAGAGCAATCTTTTGTTCGAACGTTAGGAACATCAGATCAGAGATTTTTGTTTGGTTTCAACCAATATCTTTTTATTTTATTATTTTAGAGCAATGTTTTGTTCAAGCAGTAGGAATGTCAGATCAGAGATATTTATTTGGTTTCAACCAATATGTTCAATTTTTATTTAAGAGCAATGGTTTGTTCAAGCATTAGGAACATCAGATCAAAGAGTTTTGTTTGGTTTCAACCGATATGCTCTATTTTTATTTCAGAGCAATAGTTTGTTCGAGCATTAGGAGGAATATCAGATCAGAGATTTTTGTTTGGTTTCACCCTATATCTTTTCTTTTATTATTTTAGAACAATGTTTTGTTCGAGCGTTTGGAACATCAGATCAGAGATTTTTGTTTGGTTTTCACGTATATGTTCTATTTTTATGTTAGAGCAATGTTTAATTCGAGCATAAGAAGGAACATCAGATCAGAGATTTTTGTTTAGTTTCAACCGATATTTTCTATTTATATTTTAGAGCAATGTTTTTCGAGCATAAGGAGGAACATCAGATCAGAAATTTTTGTTTGGTTTCAACCGATATGTTCTATTTTTATTTTAGAGCAATGTTTTGTTCGAGCGTTAGGAACATCAGATCAGAGATTTTGTTTGATTTCACCCTATATCTTTTTATTTTATTGTTTTAGAGCAATGTTTTGTACAAGCATTAGGAACATCAGATCAGAGATTTTTGTTTGGTTACACACCAAAAGGTGCTGTAGGATCTATATTCTCTGCTGGGAAGATGTTACACATGAATGGACCCGGGATAAACCAGGTTTATACGGGTGTACAAAGTTACCGAGGCATTATGGTTGACACTTGGCAGTCCTGTCAATATTGGGCTGCTTATGATGCAACAATGAAAGTCTCGTGGTATTTCACAAGTTAGTAGTTAACGTATTTTGTATTTCTATTGGAGAATGAAAAATAAGCACTATTTCGAGTAAATACACTAACTAGTTTCTATATATATACCAAAAGTCATTAGAGCTATGGACTATTGACATTTGTGATGAAACATGCAATTATAGTCTCGTGCTTTTTCACAAGTAAGTGTTTTCGTATTTTGTATTTTTTTTCTTTTAATGACCTGAATTTCATAGATCTACTATAGAATGAAAAACAAAACAAGTAAGTTTTAACCTGTCATCACCATTTCAAGTAAATAAACTATACGTTCCTGTATATTTCAAAGTCATTGAACTATTGACTGTGGGGTCTTATTATATTTGCTTGATCTTTTACTTGATTAATTTACCTGTTTAAAAGAGAAAGTGAAGATTTCTGTAATTTGTGGAGACGACATGGAACAACTATGTTATCAAGTATGGATGGAAAAAGTAACATGGTTTTACATAAAAGAAAAGTATTCTATTTAGTAGTAAAATTATCAAGAAGCATAATTGAAAACGTATAAGCTGTTAAAACCGAGCAATTGTCTCCCCTGCATTTTATGTTGATAAAATAATGCAAATGTTGAAATTTAAATGGTTGCACTTGAACATCCAAACTATGTAAAAGGTTCAAAGTCAATGATTCATAACATATCTGGAGGGGCAAAATATTCTTAATTGAAATAAGATATGTCAATACAACTGTATGTCAAATATCATTCACTTTTTTTATTAATAATATAAGTGACTACCCCCAAACTGACCTAATCACGAAATCTTACATGTGGACATGGCAAAATTTCATAGTCAATACAACTTATTGGAGACGGGGCCAAATACTCTATATGCACATTAAATGTGGCAATGCTAATACAACTAATTGGAGGCGGGGCCAAATAATCTATATGGACATTAGTTGTGGCAATGCTAATACAACTAATTGGAGACGGGGCCAAATACTCTATATGCACATTAAATGTGGCAATGCTAATACAACTAATTGGAGGCGGGGCCAAATAATCTATATGCACATTAATTGTGGCAATGTTAATACAACTAATTGGAGGCGGGACCAAGTAATCTATATGGACATTAAATGTTACAATGCTAATACAACTAATTGAAGGCGGGGCCAAATAATTTATTTTGGCATTAAATGTGGCAATGCTTATACAACTAAATACCTCATATCATTGACTAAAAATTTGTGGTTCCCATTAAACTAACCTAATCCCAGTCTTCGCCAAATTAACAAGTCAATGAACCATGACCGAGGAAGCGGGACTAAATCACCTCCTTTGAAATGACTCTAATGACTTTAAATATAGATAGAGGTGCCAATATTATACAAGTACACACCCCATGATCGAGTTGACATTGCAGTACAGAATATAAGTTTTGTTTTGGTTTCGACCTTTTTTTTTTTTTTTTTTTTTTTTCGTCTATTTATTGTTTGTAGTCTATTCTGAATTCAAATTGTAATTTCTTTAGGTATCGTCAAATAAATGTCATTAAATAATACATATTCCATTAGACTATATTTAACAGCGGTCACATAGTGAAGTGATGATTTTTATAGTACCCTAACAATATTGTCATAAGGAATGAATTGGATTGGCTGGAAATTATAGCCCCCTAAAAATTGATAAAGAAAAAAAACTAAAAAAAAAAACAAAAAAAAAAACAAAAAAAACAATCAAATGAAAAAAAACCCAAAAAACTGCCCTTTTTCTTTACTTTCATTTTGTGTTGATTTGTTGTTTTTACAATTGGTAATGTTATTTTGAATTAAATTACCGATAAAAAATATGACATTACAGATCCAAGTGAATGGGACACCTCAGTAGGACAAGTTGTACCCGTAGGAGCATACGTAAAAGGTATTGTGTATGATACCCAAACAGTGTCACACCCCATGGAACATTACTACAACTTCTTCCACTTCAGACCAACTGTTGACGATCCTACAGTCTTCGAAGTAAGTTGGACCTTCCGGAAGTTTGGGTCCTCAATGTTATTCAACTTTGTACTTAATTTGTTCTGTTTAACGTTTTCTATTCGAGCGTCACTGATGAATCTTTTGTATACAAAACACGTGTCTGGCGTAATCCTTCAAACTATGATGAGTTAATATACACTTATCTTACATAGCGCAAAGGTCTGATATGAAATAGCTTTCGGCAAATTAGATCAATTGGAAAGTCAAGGAAATACAAGGAAGGTTAGACGTGTCATCCATGATCATGATCCTTACTCACATCACCTCGTTTCCAATGATTGATTGATTGATTAGTGTTTAACGCCACTTTCGGCACTTTTGGCTATATCGTGGCGGTAAGTTATTATTAGTGGAGGAAGATGGAGTGCCTGGAGAAAACCACCGACCATCGTCAAAGTCAAACGTGCGGGGATTCTAATCACAACCTCATTGTTGACATCGCTAGTGATACAGCAGATAACTACTAAGACCACTCGGCCGCTACCATTATAACGATCCTTAATTACTTCTATCACCTCTATTCAGAGGAACTATATACACAATTATATATGAGCCTACCAGTAACAACAAAAAAATGGATAAACGGAATTTTACCTTATGGAATAGAACATCTTGGTTTGTTAACTTTACACACGTTATTAACTGTTGAAAATTTGAAAACAGAAATTATAGTACCGTACCGCCGCGCCTCGAGTGCAGAAGGTCGTGGGTTCAATACCCTGTCAAACCAAAGACTTCAACAATAGTATTTGTTGTTTCCTCTTTATAAATCCCGAGACATTAAAGACTTTTAAGAGTAAGAGAGAAGACTGGTCAGTTCACAGGCAGAATAATGTGTCTGATCAGGGTGCAATATGTTTCTTTCGACTGTTAATTACTTTATGAACTCAGAGTGTCGATCTACTACAAAGCAAGGTTAATATTCATACCACATTAACATTTTATGCATAACTGCCACTGAACGATATTATCCTAGGCTGTTTGCGAATTTCTCTCTTCGTCAGTTTGGTTTTGATACAATTTTTTACCATTCAACCGAAATATTACAAATATTATCCTTCACACAATTTCAATTCAAGAACCCTTTGAACCATTATTTATTTACTGTTTCAAACGTATTATTCGAAGACCCCAATAAGAGTGCAATTCCAAATGAGTATGAACATATGTTATGTCATTTACCAAATATTCCAATACAATACAGGTGTCTCCTTACAATACAGGTGTCACCTTTACAATACAGGTGTCTCCTTACAATGCAGGTGTCTCCTTTACACGTACCCTATGTCTTTTCAAGTATCTTTTCAAATTATCATGTATTAAATATGTTTCAAGCGTATTCTTCATTGATAACCTCAGGTGAATAAACACATTTTCAGTCAGTAATACGAAATATCCCAATACAATAAATGTGTCTTTCTACAATATTTTCTATCAATATACCTTTTTGAATCATTGTCTTACATCTGTTTCGGTTATATTCCATGTAGACCCCCGCGGGAGTGCAATGTCCAGGGAGAATAAACACAAAGCCTTTATCGACTATGCCGAATGGTTTGTCTTTCTACGATATTTTCCATCAAGATACCTTTTTGAATCATTGTCTTACATCTGTTTCGGTTATATTCCTTGTAGACCCCCGCGGGAGTGCAATGTCCAGGGAGAATAAACACAAAGCCTTTACCGACTATGCCGAATGGTTTTAGCTTCACATCGGAATTCATAGACAAGACCAGATATACTATCTCATTCATGCAGGTATTCATATTTTTGTATTTGTCTATTAAAGATACTTTGTACAAGTACATATAAAGGAGACCAGTAAGTATCTAAAATATTTGTCAGTACAACTGATCGCACTAAGGGAACAACCATTTAACTTCAAAAAGGGGGGGGGGGGGGTATGGTTTCCTAAAAAAATATTCTGATCCCCAATTTGATGAAAACAAATATTGTGGTCAAGCAGATGAGAAAAAAGATATTCTGAATCCAGATTTTCCCCATACCTTATAGTGTTAAATTTTGAAAAACCATTTCTGACTCAGACAAAAAGCCATAACCCCCTCCCTTGAAGTTAAATGGTTGCTCCCTAACAAACAACATTCGATTTTTGCGAGAGAGAAAAAAGACACACACAACAATGACCAATTGGTCTTGAGAAAGCCTGACTTGTTGTAACTTTATAATTTTCGTTTTTTATGGTCTTCAACTTCGTTTTTGATTTTGGCCTTCCAACTTTTGATTCGAGCAACACTGATGACTCTTATGTAGGCGAAACACGCACCTGGCGTACCAAATTATGAGCCTGGTATCTTTCGGTGAACTTTTCGTATATGCATATCTCAGACAAAAAATAGGCATACGAGCAAAGACAAACACCAACAAGATAGCTTGGCTTGTTACAGGCATACATGAGACTGGGATTCACATGAGCACAAAACCTGCCCTTTTTATCCATATCTGGCCCATACGTCGTAAAAGAAAACACTTAGCAAAAAATCTGCAGCTACACAATCATGTAACTAACAGGATGGTTATTATAACACTGCAAAGAAAACCTTTTTTGAAGCATTTATTTTTCATTGTTTAACTTTTTCTTACAACCATATAATTGCTATATAAATTCGCCATTTATTTTATATTTTTGTCATATCGTTCAAAACTATATTCACACCTTCATGTATCATGAATAGTGTGCATATGTATACTTTTGAATAAAAGGTGGTGTGTATACATGAATGGTGTGCATATGTATACTTTTAAATAAAAGATGGTGTGTATACATTGTGCATGAACGGTGTGCATATGTATACTTTTGAATAAAAGGTGGTGTGTATACATGAACTGTGTGTATATGTATACTTTTCAATAAAAGGTGGTGTGTATACGTGAATGGTGTGCATATGTATACTTTTCAATAAAAGGTGGTGTGTATACGTGAATGGTGTGCATATGTATACTTTTCAATAAAAGGTGGTGTGTATATGTGAATGGTGTGCATATGTATACTTTTCAATAAAAGGTGGTGTGTATACATGAATGGTGTGCATATGTATACTTTTCAATAAAAGGTGGTGTGTATACGTGAATGGGACGGCAACCAATAAAACAATCACTAGCACATTTTTAGAGGTCAATAAACAATTTAAAAAAATTGTGTATATTTTACATTTCTATTCGATTCTGAATGATTCAATACTTCATCAATTCTCTTTTAAAGGAATTTTATGACTACAGCAGCCTGGCAGTGTTGTACAACTACAGACCACTCAAAATAGAAAATAACAGATTTGGAACTAACACGCTCATGGAGGTTCACGACTTCAATACAGGTTTGAAACTTTTCACTTTTCTTAAAGCAATACAACTTTTGATTTGGATTTAAAACTGTTTGTGTTATATACAAAAGTTCAATTTAGTTGAAATATAAACAGTCTCGGTGATCACGTGGTAGCGTGCCCGCTCTCAAGAGCAGAAGGTCGTGGTTTTGATTTCCGGTCATGTCAAACCAAAGACTTGAAAATTAGCATTTGCCCTTTCTCCACTTATCTTGCATCATTTAAGAGTAAGAATTGAGTCTTGTAGGCTCGGACACTTGAGGAATGAAACCCCTTTTTTAAATTTTTAATAATAGAGTTATAAATTTATAAGCTACAGTTATCATATTGAAAAGAGATAGAACACATTAAATACGTGAACATAGTTTGAAATGTTATATTTATAAAAAAGGAATATTTAGAAAAAGGGGGTCCATTCCCATGTGTCCGGGTAGGGTGAGATGCATTCGTACAGACTGTTACCTTGTACAGTCACGTGTTTTAAATCCACCTCAGATTGTCCGTTTAGTAAAAGGCAGAGTTTATATTCATTTCATCATTTTCTATGGCTTCATCCTGATATGCATATGATATTGGCATCTGGACGTAAAACATAATCGATCCATCATCACCTTCTAATAACAAGATTTGCAAATAATGCACAAAAAAATGTGAAGGTAATCAAGTTTGTAATTGAAAAATCAAATAATGTCATGATTTATGGTACAAAAAATCTGTTTTAATCCTTCAAGTAACATATCTAGAAACCAAATTTACGACGATAAATTATTCAACTTTAGATCACCATATGTCATAATTTTACATCTGTTGTCTCTAAACCTATTGGTATTGGCTGTTTTGATTGTTGTTTTTAACCTGGTCTATTATCGGTTTTATATTGTACCTCTTCAGTGACTTAAACTGTTCAATCCATTTATCTCAGTCTACGAATATATGAAACTGCATCAAAGTAGCTTGCTTTCTATATCTACAATATATATAAATTATATAGAAAGTTGGAATTATTTATTGATTTGGTTCGTTCGAAACGATTTTCTGGATTTCAATTAACCAGGAACACACAAACCCTAGATTGTAGAGGTCATGGACGTATTTATTAAAAAGTAACAAATAAAATTAAACAAAACGAAACAGAAAAATTGAAATTAAAATTTTTTAATAAAAATAATGATGAAACGCATTAACATAACAAACTAGTAGAAGCTGTTCTTATGTATTGAAGGCCGCCCTCGGTTATCATTTCCTATACTTATTATAATTGATATCATACATGTATCGTATAGATTTAAACGCTTATAATTACAGGAGTTGCATATGTTACCGATACCATGCATGGCAACTGCACAGCCCAAAAAATAGAGACTACGTTCGATGACAGAAGGGTTGACTTAAGCCACGTGTCAATGAGAAATCCCGCTCAATTCTTCTATTTTGACGTCATTAATTATACATACGAAGGAGTGGTGAGTTAATAACACAACTCGTTTTAAAGATATGAGGCTAGTATAAAAAGTATTTTTTAGAAGTAAAAGGCACATAAACGTGAAATAAGAAGATAACATTTTCGGTATTGAAGTATTAAAGTTTGTAAAAAGACACTCTCATTTGTACATATCTAAACTGTAATTTTATCAGCTTACTGCAACTGTTTACAGTGCTATAGAATTTCAGCATATAATAGATCAATCAACACATGTTTATTATATTCGTAAATATAATTGTGCATTTCTTTATATCAGAAAAAGATCCGGAACATTGACTGTGACAGCTGGGTAGGAATCCGTCCAAACTGGCCAGCATCAGGTGTTAACACAACATGGATGTGGTATTTTGCAACAGTAAGTATCACGATAAATAACGACACCGGGAAATTTCATTCAATTTCATGAGTTGTCTCGTACAAACATTACTGTTAGCAACGAATAAAACGATATATAATCATCCGAAGACAAACAAAATCAACAAATATCATGGTCACAGACTGTCTCTACCATGAGACATATGCACATATTGGGGGTTATGTACTGTGTGCTACACATAACAATGCATTGTTTTTAAACTGTCTGTTGTCAATGACTTATTTCAAATACAAAAAAAACTACAACAGAAAGTAGGATGCCGAACATGAATCGAACATTTTTCAATGGCTTCTGTTGTAGTTGTGTTGGCTACTTTTAAGTTATGTATTTTTTTATCTTTTCAATATGTATTCGGGTTTTATTGATTTAATCATTGATAATGAATGACTTAAAATTATTTTTTTTCGGGATACTGTGTTGATTAACTTCCTTAAAAACCCTGTTTTAATTAGTATCCAAATTATAAAGTAAAGTATATTTTATGTTCTATTTTTTAGTCTGATTGGGTACAAGTAAACACAGGAACAGAACAAAGTGGTACACCTGTACGACTTACTATTGATAACGGTGATGTAAGTGAGCCTCCTCATGGGGTTTTTGATTATGTGATTACTTGGCCGTTTTTATAGTGATTATTTGATTACCAGTCCAAATATTTCATGATTATTTTATTATTTGATAATCTAGGACTGTAGTTTTGATTATTTGATTATCTTGTTAAAAAAATAATTAATGATTATGTAATTATATTGGCAAACAATTTGTGATTATGTGATTACTTGGACACCCCCATGAGGGGCCTCGTAAGTTAATTATGTATAAAATAAAATGAAATAAATTAGAGCAACAGTAGTTTACCGATGTTCCAATCTTATAAATCAATTAGAAGTTACAAATCTAAAAAAGCCATGTTGACATAACAATCAACAGCAATAACACTGACAGTTTCTAATCATCTAGTCAAGTCATAAAAGTGTATTTGTGTAGATATATAGGTATTTTATTCTAAGCGTTTTAAAATTAAGTCAGAAAATTAAAAAAAATAAAATTAACAGAATGGAATATTGTCTCACTGCATATATGGCAATACACATATTTCTTAATAATGATGTATAAAATAATCAAATTATAAAACATTATATGCTATTGCACATTCGCTTTTATTTTCATAGTTTATTATTTTTCATATAAAGCCAAGAAGTGTTTTCTTCAAAATAAAAATAATGCTTAACTTTGCAAAAACTAAAATATTTAATTATCACAAACACACTTTATTTCTTGATTTGAGATCAATTGTTTAACATCAAATACAAATTATACAAATTACAGAAGTGTTTTGTTTATCAAAGGTTCAGCATGTACAGTTATAGTCAAATAATCAATCCAAATTGAAATCAAACCTGGTATCATTAATCTTATGTAAATATTTAGACAGATAACCTTATACATACATGTATCATTGAAATGATAAAGTTTATTCGATGTTGAACATTAGTCCTATCCTTAAGTAAGATATATTCAAATAATACTGATTTCATTGCAAACACTGCAAACACAACGACCTTCAGGGATTTGAAATATATGATCAAATTGAGATCGTTTGAAGATCAGCGAAAAACAAAAAAGATAAAAACAAATCGTTAAAAGCTGAAAATAATAAATAAAAATTATTTTAATTTAAAACTTGAATCAACCTCTGTAACTAGTCAGATCATGAGCATTTAGAATGTTTAGGGACTAATTGCTACACTTTTAATGTAATAATTGCCATTTCGTATTAGATGATGGCTCTTAAAGTCAAATAGTTTAATATCCTTTATTTCATATGTATTATAAGTTGATTTAAATACGTTGCACCCTCTTAGTATACAATTTTAACAAAATATAGTTTGTAAAATAAGTATCTGTTCTTTTCCAGGCTGGCATACATTATGAGTATAATTTGTATAATTTTGCAAAGAACAAACCAGATATATTGAACTTTGACATTAGTGCGTGTTATGTAAACAATAATAGACGAAAATTCCAGCTGAATTTCGCAGGTAATATACATAAAATGATTCGATTTCCGATATTTAAACTGATCTTTTTACATAATCTATGCATATGTTACCCCTAGTTATTGTTTAATTTTGAAATGCTGCACGCTGCATAATAGTTTAATGGTCTTTAATGCCAAAAAAAAAAATATATAAAAGCATCAACACACACTAAAATGAAAATAAAACTTTGTAAATTTGTTGTGTCTGAGTTCGTTACTGGAACTACCTTTACTCCGAACGCTCATGTCCCAAAACTTATAAACACGATGTTGAACTTCCTGAACAGCTAAATGAACAAAAAGGCTCGAAAAGAATAACTAAATCCAACTTGGGTCAATTTTGCCTGAGGATATAAGAACCTTTTACATAAGCGCTTTTAAATAATTTCTCAAAAATCAACGGAGAATTTAATTGCAGAAGTATGTAATAGATCATGTCAGTACCGAAGTAACAACTACTGAGCTGATGATATCGACCCAGATCTAGAAAAAAAATAACACATTATAAATTTATAGCGTCCGAAGAGTCATTCAAGATTGAACTTGAACACGATGGCTGAAAATAAAATAAAAATTGACAGCTAAGGGTGTACTTAAAAGTATTTGAATACTTAATGAAAATATAAAAACGCCAACATAACACAGAAAGATAACAATGATGAGTGACGACATATAATGCATGAATACCGCTTCCGGAATATATTACCTTAGCTGTATTTAGCAAAACCTACCGACATTTTAGGTCTTCAATGTTCTTCATCTTTGTAATTTATTTGGCCTTTTTAGCTTGTTTTATTCGAGCGTCACTGATGAGTCGTTTGTAGACGAAACACACGTCTGCCGTATAAAAATTTTAATCCTTGTACAAATAATGAGTTTATTCGTGACAACAATTAGTGGCTTATATTTGAAATTTCTTTGGTACAGGTAGTTATGCAGGTGCTGTCACACAAAATATGAAACTTTTCAAGTATTATGTACTTATCTCGCTGACACAACAGTTACAAATATCAGCTCTACGAGTGGCAAACTTAAAGGTAAAATTATACTCATTTCGCTGACACAACAATTACAAATATCAGCTTTACGAGTAGCAATCTTAAAGGTAATATATACTTTAAAATCTTTCGATGTTTTTGTCAAGTAGATATAATGAAATAGTTTATTTACATCTGTCGTACAAGCAGTTTTAAGTTATTTTAAATATGAATATTGGAGTTATGTTTGATTGTGTGTCATTGTGTGTGTTTTGATTTAAAAATAAACGAAAACATTATCATTAATTATGACACAATTTTGAAAAAGTATAACAAAAATACGAACTCCAAAGCAAATTCAAAAAGGGAAAGTTAATAAAACTGACAAATAAAAATGACGAAGATTTTATGTACACTGGTTTTGTCAATCATTTGGGTCCTTTTTGACCAGAAAACAACACACTATCCCAAATAAGAGCAGTTAATAGTGCTTTCATTTTGAAATGTGTTTATTTCCCAGTATTTGAGGCGATCATCTTCTAATATAGAAATTCAAAGATGGGATAAAAAAGTATTAACAAAAACCGAATCACAATCTAATTCAAAAATGAGGAGAGTCCATAAAACCTGACAAAACAAAACTCTCGGCTTTATCAACCAACGGAACGACTTGAAAACAACTGTCATATTCCGGACTTGTTACATGCACTTTTGAAAGATTGTTAATGAGACAACTTAGCTAATCTTAACAACTACTGATAACTGTACGGACTTTACCAATGAGTGAAACCAACCCAACATTGTAAGCTATTATAGGCACCAGGATATCAAAATAAAAAGCAAGTCATTTGTAAAAAGCTAAGGATTGATTTACACTTACAATGTTCAACGGACAACTGCTATAACAAAGCCCTTCTTTTGCAGGTGTATATTGATCAAGACATCCTGGTTGTGTTCGAGCTATTGGATGTTGCTCCAATTAAAGGAGATGTTACCAATATTGTCCAGGAAACACCTCTACTTACAGCTGCAAATGCATTAGTCACAATGGTCAACAACAATAAGTTTTTCGTGTCATTACAAGACCCAGCTTTCAAAAATGTAAGCTTGTTGGTCAAGTATATGTTATTTTCACGTTTTCGAGTACTTTCATAACGGGCAATGGTGTTGGAGTGTTACTACAGTTAATTACTAAAAAATGTCTGATTTCAAGTTTAACAAATGGAAGAAAATATCAAGGGGAAATACTGTACATCCTGTGACATTCTCTGAATAATGGTCACCATCTTCTATGTTCAACTTCAAATGGTGACCATTTTTGGGGGTCATTAACCATGGGCTAGTGGTCAGTCTAATTAGGTTACCTGGAGAGATGCACTGATTTGATCTTTTGATTAAAAATGGTGTAAATGACATCCTCCATCAAAAGTTTACATGTACAGGTAAATTGTTCTTGTCCCTTTTCAATTATTTACATGTGAATTAATTTTGTTTAAAGATTGAAATAGATTTTTTTTATTTATTCATTTCCAAATTTTAGAAATCATCTACATGTAAAGGTAACAATGTAGCATTTTTTTATTTTTGTATATAAATGTGATAATAATGTTATTATCCTGTATTTCTATGGGATGCAAATTAATTCCCTTTCTCAAGCAGTGTCAATTATTTATATTGTAGAAAATTTATTTGAATCTTTTCATAATGCTTATGAAATAGGAAGTAAGGTGTTTTTTATTACTTTTTAAATTTTTACAACTTGTATACAAAACTTCTTCTAAAAATATAATAATGATTAAATAATAAGCATTAAAACTATCTGCCAATATGGTTTATTTTAAATGTTTAGTTGACTGGCTTCATGGTGTTAAGAAATAAATACACGTAAATAGACAGATAGCCACAAAGTAGATAAGATAAAAAGTCAAAGATAAGTTATTGACTAGCATTTGAAAACAAAACAGATAATCCTTGAAATAATATATATATATAAAAAAAAGTAATGGTACATCATGTACATTGTAGTCAATTGTTCATTTGCATTATTAAATTGATATAAATTAATAATTATTATTAACCTCTTATCATGCAAATGATATGATAATAGGCACCATGAAGCCATTAATTTAACAAGCCTGCTTTCTATATAATGAAATGATCACTATTATCAATTCTTTTACAAAATATTTTGATTTGAAAGGTGGAAATGTATTATTATTCAAGAAAACTACAAATGATTTTGGAAAAAACTATTTTTGTTTTTCAATTTTTTTTTCAAATCTCAAAACTAGAGTTGTGCCTGTAGCATCATTGAAGAGACTTTAATTTTCCAAATGCCCATCTGGTGCATATAAGTTAGTACCATACTGTTTGTCCAGTAACGTTTTGTCCTATATTCAAAATATACTAGTAAATCATCAAAATTTGATTAAACTTCATTAAAAATGCTAAGGAAGAGTTTCCTGATTTCTGAATGAAAAGAAATTATTTTAAAAAAATTGTCTTGTTTATTATTATCTTCAGTTTGGCTTATTACTGTCAGATAGCAGCCAATATTTTCTCCATGAAAAATAAAGTACACATCTATTGACATTTTCTATAGACTCTTAAATTAAAACATTTTTTGTTTTGTGTATTTAGTTATCCTCCTTTGTTATCAGTGGTTTTCTGATTCTAAAACTAAATGTCAACTTTTGCAAGTTATAAAATACAAAAATCTTTAACCTCTGAGATCTGAAAAAATTAATTTTTTACCTAAAGAAGAATTTATATTGTCAAAACTGCTGGACCTGCATGGTACATGTACATATTCTTCATATACATGATATACATATGCCAAGAAATAATACAAAACAACAAAATAACAGACCTTTAAGATAAAGTTAATAATTGTAGGGACTTGAATGAAGTAAACTCTTTAAAGCCCTTGATTAAAAATGAATTTAAACACATACAAATATTTTTGAAAATAGAATTAAAAAGTTATGATGAAATAGTAACTGTTACTTTATAATTTTTTTTTAACTTAACTTGGATAGAGAGTTTTATTTAGCGTCTAATGCCTTTTCTATAAGAAAATGCTTCACTAGGTTAAGAACTAGTGACCATAATTTAGAAATAGGAAAAGGTCGCTATTATATTCCATGTGTTCATTTCTTATAGAATTGTTATTTCTTTGCATTATTATGTTTGTTTCTTTTTTTTGTATTTGTCACAAACTAATTATGTTTATTTGACAATAATTAAAGATATTATTAAATTTTGCTTTAATGAATATTTTGAAATGTCAATAGAGAAAGAATGAATTGCCTAAATTTTATTCAAATAAAGTCCTAAGATAATCTTAAACATTTGTTAATCAATGTTGAATGGATCAGTATCTTTAAATCTTAACAGTTTTGATTTTAGAAAAAAAAATTGAGAAACACCATTTCAATGAAAAGACTGTGCAAGTGTGCAATATATTAAATGATGAGATTCATTTATTCTTCATTTGCCAAAAATACATGTTAAGAAATAACTTAAATTGAGAGAATCATTTAAAAGGTATAACAGCAAAACCAACAGCCATGGCAGTGTAAACTACATATAAAAACAAATTTCTGAAAATAATATTCAGCTATATTCTCAGCTTGTTTTATTATTTCATTTTATTTTTTTAATTTTCTTGTCATTATCACTGAAAGAAATTTGACAAACACATATTGTTTCCCTGAGACATAACATATACATGTACATTAACAATTAAAATTCAAAATGTAGGAATAGCAAGAATAAACATTGTAAATGTTGTAAATGTACATGTACATGATGTATACAATATATGTTTGTCAAATTTTCCATGAGACACTTTACCTGTAAGCTATTTTATTATATCACTTAAATGCAATCATGATTTCCCTTTACCCTTGACTAGTTTTTAAGTAATTAAAGAAATAACTAGTTTTTAAGTAATTAGGAAATAACTCAAATAGAGAGAACTATTTGTAAGATATAACAGCAAAACCAACATATAAAAAAAATTCATCACTTAAATGTAATCATGATTTCCCTTTACCCTTGACTAGTTTTTAAGTAATGACATGTGTATTAATTAAACAACAGGGAGTATAGTGATGAACATATAGGGCCATCATGTTGGACATAGTTTTTATGGTCACCATGCATCAGAGAATGTTACAGGTAGTACTGTAAGATAAAAATACTCGTCAAAGGTTCCAGGCTTAATTTTGTTTAGGCCAGAAGCGACTCATTAGTGGCGGTAAGCGGTCGGTCGCCATATTCAAAATGATACTGTTTTAATATAAACACATTTACGGGTAGCGCAATTAAAAATTTGTATTTCGTTAGGCCCTTCATTTCATGGTTCACTTGTTTTCATAATTCCACGAAAACATTTACCACTGGAACACATATTGCTTTGTTTGCGTCATTACAGATTCACTAAAACTGTGGAAATTAGAACCTTGCTGTTATGTCAGGTGCATTAATTGTATATGGTGAAAAAAAACTACTATTTATGAACTAGAATTAGTTATTTGAATACCTTAAGGAATACATTATTGATAAATATCTTAGTGCCACAATTGTCTTAGAGATTTTTTAAATGTAGGGATACAAATAATTGTTAAACAGACTACTTTAAGCAAAGAAATGACTTAACCTAATTCTTTTATTATCTATTTTTGAGTATTAATTTGTGTTTAAGAATATCAAACGGCACGAGCGTTTTCAATGTTCGTATATAAAGTAGTTGTTAGATACACCTAATGGTTAATTGAAATAATATATTTATCATGATTGTTTCAACTTGTCCTTAAAATCGTATTTCTAATATCATTTGTATCGCACTCTTATTGTAAATTTTCTACAGTTGGTTGGTATGATACCAAAAAAGACAGGATTTGTAGAAATAACATACTTACTACAAAATACTACAAGCTCCAGTGATACCGGGAATGGACCAGGTTAGTATGAAGAATAAACAACTAAAAGCTCAAACGATTCCCTAATTGGTTAGTGATGGCCTCGAGGTGATTGCCAAACAAACCAAGTTTAAATAAAATACAAATAGCTCAAACGATACCCGAAATGGTTAGTGATGGCCCCGAGGTGATTGCCAGACAAACAAAGTTTTAGTAAAATACTAATAGCTCAAACGATTCCCTATTTGGCTAGTGATGGCCTCGAGGTGATTGCCAAACAAACCAAGATTAAATAAAATACTAATAGCTCAAACGATACCCTGAAATGATTAGTGATGGCCTCGAAGTGATGTGAATATGATTAAGTATCCCGACATGAAAATAAAGACATGTCATTAGTTACATATCGATTGTTAAGGACGATTTTAACCAATCAAAACGTCTTAGTGTACGCGTATGTAAATATTTCCCAGAATGCGTATGTATAAATGTAAAGATCAGGATATTTGGTATTATTGTCAATGAGACGATTGATTGATTGATTGTAATTTGATTACGTTCAGCAGAAAATAATTCATTTTCAGTACGATAAAAAACTAAAAATGTAGATCATGCAATTGGTGGTCGAAAAGGATGAAGTCCGATGTAAAAATATTTTATTCAGTGGTTGTCGTTGGTTCTGGTCTGTCATATTTGTTTTTCGTAAAGTAAATTTAATAGTAATTAACATGATGTATTAGGCCATTTAGTTTGTCGTTTGAATTTTTCGACATTTTTTTTATGTCTGGGCCTTTTATAGCTAACTACGTTATGGGGTTTGGCAATATTCAGGGCTGTGACCTATAATTTTTTACATTAACGTCATTTGAATTCAGGTGTAGAGTTGTCTCATTAGCAGTCATACCAAATTGGATTCAACGTACTTCCCCATTCTGACCGGAATTGGCTGCGAATTTATACATCCAGCAAAGCCAAACGAAAGTCCAACTTTGACAAGAGTTTAATACTGGTCGGAAGATTACAAAGGGATGACCATATATCTATACCCTTGGGAGTTTCAATGAGTCGATAATCTATTGAACTAATACCAAGAATGAGCAATCCATAACTGCAAAACATATATGTTAACATGATTCTAAAGTACAAATGTTGTTTTTTTTCATCTGAAGTACATGCTTAATGTTTTAGGCAGTTACTATAATAACACGTGAAAGGTAACTTTTCAATGAATGTAGTGCAATGGAGCTTTTTAATGGGTGCTTTCATACAAAGTTTGCTATAATCATTTACAATATACATTTTTTTTATTCAACAGGTACTATGGCAGCAGTTGGTGTAGTCATGCCTATTGTTGGTGGAGTTCTTGGGGGACTGTTCTCATATTTTTTCTTTAAATGAACACAATCTCAAAATTAAATGCATGTAATACTCTTTGATGAATTTGTTTTACTGTACAATATACATTATGATATCATTCTAAACATTCTAAACATCAATTTATCGGGCAATATCATGGTCAGACGTTAGGTCCTGTAATGATTTTTTTTTAAATTAGAGTGTATGTTAAATATAGAAAAACAAATTTAATGTGTTACTTTAGTTTATAGTTATTATATAACAACAAACACAAACAAGTGTTTTTATTCAACAGGTACTATGGCAGCAGTTGGTGTAGTCATGCCTATTGTTGGTGGAGTTCTTGGGGGACTGTTCTCATATTTTTTCTTTAAATGAACACAATCTCAAAATTAAATGCATGTAATACTCTTTGATGAATTTGTTTTACTGTACAATATACATTATGATATCATTCTAAACATTCTAAACATCAATTTATCGGGCAATATCATGGTCATACTATTTTAAAAATTCAGATACTTTTCATAAATTAAAGCCATGTTGCGTCAATATTTTCGACTGTTTAAAGACACCTGCTACAAGTGAATCAACACCTATCATTTCTTCTTGTAAACATAAAAAAGGAAAAAGGAGCACGTGTAAGACATGTGATATGTTAATCACGACTCCTGATTTTACTAGTAATTTAACATCTAAAACATATTATACTAAATCTTTCGAGCCTCTGGACTGTTCCACGGACAATGTCGTGTACGGAATAGAATGTACTTTGTGTGGACTACTTTATGTTGGTGAAACTCGTCAAACTTTGCGTAAAAGAATGAATCAACACCGGTCTGATAATAAAGATCCGCAATTTAGGGTTCTTTATAACCATTTTAATCAACCGGACCATGATCCTTCTTTATCTATGAAAGTACGCATCATCGAGAAAATTTATCACCACACAAATAGCCCTGTACTAAGTACTCCTTTCCGCAAAGATAGAGAAAATTTCTGGATAAGGGAATTAGGGACTGCAATGCCATATGGTTGCAATGATAATGTCAAAGGAGTAGGAAATTTGTCCAGTCCTGCCTGCAGTGATGTTAATGTAATGAGTTTATTTAATACTACCTTACGACAGCAACGTAGTCATGGGCAAAAACATTACCATCGGCCTAATGTAAAAAAGTCATCAAAATCTAGATCGCCCTCTGGGAGCTTTGATGACCTTCTTTCACATCTTCATCATCCACTAGGGTTACATTACATTAGAACTATTCTTTTTTCACTGCCTGTTAATTTTCTTAAATGTTTGAGAGATTATGCACTTGACAAAGGATGCATCGATACATTTTCTCCAATATACAGACTAGTCAGTATTATTTGTGATGTAGCTCTTTTCCGTCTTTTCAAACCAGTAAGATCGGAACCTTTACACGAGGAAAAGAGGAAATTCCTTCCTGTTCACTTTACCAATAGAGGGATTGATGCAATCAACATCTGCAACGTTCTACATCACAAGGAGGTAATATCTAAAATTCCTATTTACTTTCAAAATCAGTCTGTTCCTATTGTATCCTACAGTTACACCAAAACCATTGCACCTAAAGTATTTAACTATAAACAAGCATTGCAGGACCTTGACTTAGATCAATACCTCAAAAACCCACCGACATGTGACTGTTCCCACTCGCCTTATAATTACAGCCCCTCTGGTCATGTTATAACTGGGGATCTAAACATAATTCAACATGAAAATCTCCGAAAGGTGATTTCTCATGGTCCTAAGTTTAGAGAACCCCAACACATCAATTGGAACCATAACTTCAAAATAATTATGGATTCCATTGAGGACTACGCCAGAGCATGGGCTAAATGAGAAGAAGTTGAACTGGACACTTTGTCAGAATGGGTCAAAACTATCAGGTCTCTGATAAAACGTCGCATTCATAAGTTGAAAAACTGTGTGAATGATCGACCTAAGTCCGTTTTCAGAGACAAAGAGGCCGTGAAATGTCTATCATCTCTTCATGATAAGTATGTTGTTGTTCCTGCGGACAAAGCTTCAAATAATATTGTCTTTATATGTAAATCGTATTACTACGAATGTCTTGTAAAAGAATTAGGAATAAATGAGCACTCAGGTAATCCCACATACAAAGACTTATCATTTGACAAGGATGAGATTTTAGCAAATCATAAGTCCTTCATGGCTTCAATGAACATTACATTGAACACCAAATCGGAGGACTTACCTTTTTTGTATTGGATACCTAAGCTCCACAAAATTCCTTACAAACAACGGTACATTGCCGGCTCATCTGCATGTTCCACTAAAGAATTGTCCATTAGATTGACTAAAATTCTGTCCGCAGTGAAAGAGGGTCTTCAGAAATACTGTGAAACTGTTTACTCGCGTAGCGGTATTAACCATATGTGGATTCTTAAAAATTCTAAAGAACTTCTAGATAATTTTAAATCTCGGTCTTTTTCTGAGATTAGTTCTATCAAAACTTTTGATTTTTCAACCCTGTATACCACCATTCCCCATGTGAAATTGAAAAATCGCTTGAAAGAAATAATCCACAATGCCTTTCATCATAAAAATGGTAGCATACGCTATAAATTTATTACTTTGGGATATCATAAGGCATATTTTGTTAATAGTGAACAAAAGGGTAAAACATGCTACACAGAAGAACAAGTGATCAGTATGCTGGAGTTTCTTATCGACAACATATTTGTTGAATTTGGAGGTAGACTTTTTCAACAAATTGTCGGCATTCCTATGGGAACGAACTGTGCGCCTCTCCTTGCCGACCTCTTCTTATTTTCATATGAATCGGAGTTCCTTCAGACACTTGTCAAAAACAAGAAGATCAAAGAAGCCAGATTATTTAATTTCACTTTTAGATATATTGATGATGTTCTTTCCATTAACAATCCGAACTTTTCTGATTGGGTTCCATTAATATATCCCCCAGAACTAGAAATTAAAGAAACAACAGACACGGCTTCCTCCGCCTCATTTTTAGACTTATATCTCGAATTTGACATACACAGTCATCTCAGTACCAGAATCTATGACAAACGAGACGATTTTAATTTTAAAATTATAAATTTCCCCCACCTTAGTAGCAATATACCAACTTCACCTGCATATGGGATATACATTTCCCAACTTATTCGATATTCAAGAGCTTGCAGCTCTTACTCAGACTTTGTAAAACGTCACCAGTGTCTGAGCAGAAAGTTGATGAACCAGGGGTATGTCAAAGAACGTCTCGTCCTTTTTCTAAAAAAGTTCATCGGAAGGTACCAAGACCTTGTTGATAAATATTCCGTATCAACTTCACAAACAATACATGATGGTCTTGAAGTATAGATTCTGCATACTGACGTTGTTTATCATCTTAACAACGTGTAATATTGTTCTTTCATTTGTCTTTGTTCTATTATTAATATTACTTTTACTGTTTGGTTTGTTTTCTGTGATATCCATTTGACGTGGCTAGGTACTTATACATCCCGTCAATGTGTTTGTATTATCTTTAATTTTTACTGGTGTGTTTTGTATATGCGACTTTTTGTGTTTCTGTGGTTCTTATAACGTGACTCTGTACTTTAAAAGATCCCGTCATTATGTTATTGTTCTATTATATGTCATTATGTTATTGTTCTATTATAAATTTGAAAATACTTTGAACGACAAACGACAAATTTATTTTACTCGCGTAGTGGTATTTACCATATGTGGATTCTTAAGGGTTCTGAAGAACTTCTGGACAATTATAAATCTCGGTCTATTTCTGAAATTAATTCTAACATAACTTTTGATTTTTTAACCCTGTATACCAACATTCCCCATGTGAAATTATAAAATTGTTTTGAATAGACATTGAATGACAAACTTTTTTCTTATGTGACGTTTACATTTTCTGACGTCAGACACGCGAAGCAATGAATGTGGGTCTTAATTTGATAGATGCTTTTGTGTTTTTTTTGTAAATAATTGTTTGTTTTGATATTGTAACACAGTGATGACTGCTGTACCCATATTTTGACTATTTTATTTATAATGTCTGTTTTGTTCACGCATCGTTGTAAATATAACGAAATTTGATAAGACTGTCGTACAAGTGAGAGGTTTAGCGCTATAAAACCAGGTTCAATCCACCATTTTCTACATTTGAAAATGCCTGTACCAAGTCAGGAATATGACAGTTGTTGTCCATTCGTTTGATGTGTTTTGTCATTTGATTTTGCCATGTGATTAGGGACTTTCCGATTGAATTTTCCTCGGAGTTCAGTATTTTTGTGATTTTACTTTTTTTTGTGTAATACAGAAATACTTCCTTAAAGACCTTTAAAATACATTTGTGAAAGTAATTAATTAGATTTAATTTATCAGTACGAAACAAATTCGTCACATACCTAAATGTTCAGACTATTACTCAATATGTGTTTTAGATTGAAAATATTAGAGATTGTATTACAAATTATGACACATATTTACGGAAGTACATTTAGGATTAAATTCGTGATTTCGAATTCAAATTATATTTTTGGAAGGTCCTAAATGGGCTTCCATATACTGTGGATTCATTATCATTCGTTGGATACCAATTTTCGTGGATTTCGTGGGAACAGGTGAACCACGAAATTAAATGATCAACGAATACCAAATTTTCTATAGGCTTGTATGCATACTTCGTCAAAACCACGAAATCAAATATCCACGAACATGTATGTTTTCCTTTATCCACGAAAATTGGTACCCACGAAAATAAATGAATCCACAGTATATTCGATATTTAAACTTGCATACATCATGTACATATAATTTAAAAGGATATATGTATATTAGTTTAATTAAAATTGTTCTATGTTTACTCAGTGAGTTTAAATACGAACAGTTTCTACAATTTCTTGTGTTCGTTATATATTGTTTTGTTCTAGCACCCCCAGAAATAATCTACCCAAGTGTGCTAGCTAATTTGATCATACATCATCGTCCAATAAAGAAAGCTCTTTAATTATATATGTCTTATTTATTAATGTTTATAAAGCATTAAATGTAAGGAACAAACCGTCATGTAAAAATGTCTTTCATGATGAACGGTAAAACGTGTTTTAACTAATAACCCTCTTCAATGCTGTCGATTCCACTTATTTCTAAAATGATTGACTGAAAACATTATACGGTATACATTTAAATGCACAAGAGGAGCGTCTTGGTTAATAATATCGTTTTCAAAAGTATGCATTTATCATAAAGATATAAAAATGAAAGCCTATGGTAGTACACATGCTAAATCATAGAGACCTGTATAAAAACACATCTTCAAATTTTGCCACGTTTTTCGTGGTATTAAATGTTAGGTCTGATAAGCAGGCGCATTCGGAATGATTTGTTGTGAATATATGTGCCCGGGTCCTGTTTGTCGGGGATATATATATCCGGATCCTGTGTTTGTTTGCTGGTTATTAAACCGTGCTTGACTTTGATAATGGCCGTGACCAGCTGCGGATGGATACTGTGTAGGTGGTGGTATCAATCTACCTCGTTCACTCAACCGTCCTACAAAAAAGATTTTTTTTTTAGTTTGTTCCACTTTTACATGTTTTAAAAGCATTAAACAGAAATAATTTTACTACACTAGATACACATTACGACAACAAATATTTCTTCAGTGATTTTCGAGTTTAAAATAAAAAAAAAATTACAACCTATTAAAAATTTTCAAGAATTGCTTCAAACAAATTTAAAAGGATTATTTCATGTACAATTTTATGGTTAAAGACAGTTTATCATTTGATATTCTAAGATACTGAATGTATCCACGACTTTTTCAATTGAGATAAGGAACAAGTAAAGATTTCCTTTTTCAAAATTCATTTTTTACTTTTTAAACAAACACTTTTTCAGAGCTAAAGAGATACTAATATAGCAAACAAAGTAATACGTCGAAGAAGGAGATGCAATACTATGGACAAACGATAAAAAAGACAAGTCTATAGAACGCTACACAAAAAACTAAACATTGGGCAACATGAACCCAAGAAAATCGTAGGCGAACTCAAGCTGAATGCAATTAGTTACGTTGCTGCACGTGAGAAACCCAAACATTCACAAATACCTGGAAAGCTACAAAAGGTTTAAGATATTCACCAACGAGACAGCTCCCCTTAATAACCAATAGATCTAGAGGCAAATTATACATGGCGCCTGCTATTTGCTTTCATTTATACTCCACAGCAGTGATAAAACAAAATTAATATGACTTTTTCTGCATTTTAATGTGTCATCATCGAATGAGACCTATTACTGAATTTGTACTTAAATGAGCAATACGACTGTTGCGACATGTGGAGCAGGATCTGCATACCGTTCCTTACCACCTGATAATCCTCCGGGATTTTAGTAGGGTACTTTTTCCTCAGTATTTAGTTTTCTATATTGTGTTACGCAGACTGCTGGTTGACTTTTCGTCGGTTTATTTTGTACAGACCTAAGAAAATTGAATGATCTGAGATTTAAATCAATTTCCCTATGGAATAAAATATGTCAGGGTGGCTAATTACATTGCTGAGCGCTGATATATTTCCCTGTATTACATGATTGTAGATCCCATAGTATATGATAATTTGGATATGAAACTGATCCAACATTAAAAGAAAATTTCAACTTCAAAAAGTGGCTATGTTCAATTACCATTTATGAATAAATCCCTTCTTCGTCTATATATTGCACAACATGCTGCAATCAATACAAAGAAGACCACCATACCAACAAATACCCCTATAATGACTCCTCTTTCGTCACAACAGTGTTTTATACCATCTATTTTAGTTGAACCGCAACAACCATTTAGGCAGAACTCGTAGACCCGTAAAGTCGTCAGGGTGGTAGTTTGGAAAAACTGGATTGTACATATTTTCTTTGTAGTAACAAAATCCTGCATCCACTACAGCTTCAGTAAAAAAAATTTATAAAATCAAATCATTGTCAAATACAAATGAATGCATCAGAGAAAATTACGAACATATATATAATCGCAAACAAGAAAAATCAAAGTAACGGCTATTATAGTCATTATTTGGTCACTGAATTGCAAAACTATTTAAATTATTCAAGCCTTTCAAAAATGTTCAGTTGAATTTCTACATTCGTTTGATGTTATAAAAAAATTTAAACTCTGGTGGAAGATTGTCTAATTGGCAACCATACCACCTTATCCTTATTTTTATATAGCTAATTCAGTTATGAAACGTCAGCTTTCATTTTATATGATGTCAAAAACATGATGAAATTGACTTGTTTTACCTCTCATGTTTTGTTACACTTATTAGTGAGACAAAGACTTAATCAAAATGTTATTTTACCAGCGTGCTTTGCGTATAAGTATTAGCTAAGATATTTTGAGGCAAAATATCTATTCGGGTAGCACCTTGACTAATATATAAATGTAAATGACACGATATCAAAATGAGCCTGTTTCATGTTTTTGCCATGAAGAAAATATTTTTTAAAACACATTTCAAATATATAAATAATCATTTCAATCTCAAGGATGATATTCAATTGTTTTAATTTGATTTTTATTGTAGACATAACGATCACGAGAAAAGCCGATGTATTATCTATTGTAAATATTGATGAGTTTGAATAAATGGAAGATTCGTCTTTTGATTACTTATTTCTTTTTAAAAGAGAAATCTTTATTAATAATGTCAATTTTTTTCTATTCTGTTTATTTTATCACCCTTTTATTCTTTATTCTGTATTTTTTTGCCTATTTTTATCTATTCTTTATTTTTCTGGCCCATTTTGCTGTAGTATTGGTCCATCATTCTCTATTCTGAAAAAACCTTTTCAGACCCTCATAAAAGAACCTATCTTCAAGATTTACAGAGACTAGAACAGTTGCAGTTTATCCTAGAATAAATGAATAACTGAACATGTTATTTAAAAAAGAAACGTCACCTAATCATCGAGTAATCTGGTTGCATAGAAAAAATAAAATTTTGTCTCGTGTAAAACTCTTTTCTCAAGGTGGGGTGAAGGGGCACGGGAATAAGTAACTATTTCGGGCTTCATGAGATGTAATGCGGTCGTGAATTTAAGATGAAATATATGACAATGATGCTGATTAAATCATAAGTGTATGAAACTACTCAGGTGTCAATCTTTTTCACAGATGCGATTTAAAACACTGTCGTAAAAGTTAAATAAAATTGTCAAACAGATTTATCTCTCCATGAAATGGCGTAATAATGTTCGCTACAGATACTTTTTTTGTCACAATATATGAAAAGGGTAGTGTACCAGATATTCACCCCTACCATAATGTCCTTAATGGCTCCTCTCCTGAGACTCCCCTGTACTGAAAAAATACTTTTTTATACAACAAACTACATACTAGACGAACTATACACAATAAGTAAAAATGCAAGACAAGAATCTGTGATGTTTTATTGGATGTATCTAACTTTGTATTACTCTCATGTGCGTGCTATCAAAAACAAACATAACAAGAAAGTGTGGTCTTACACAAAAAAAAAAGTAAACGTAGAGCGGAAATAAATGGTGAAAAGAATTACGATAGGCAAAACCTTTAAATCAAATTTGTTTACCTATGGTAATATTTTTAAGCAGGTAAGAATTTACAGGAGTTTGTTGTTATTAAAGGCGGATCGGGACATCAACCTAATACACGTTAACAAAGATATTTCTACTTATATATATATATTTTGTTTTAATTAACATATCTATGATAAAATCGATAATTGTACAAGCCTTAAATTAAACTTATCAAACAACGACAAGAGCACAATTTTCTCCATATTTTTATTTATTACACGTGTACATGAAGTGTAACAAAATGTATATTTCCTTGTTACATTTAACACAGAAATTACTCTCTCACTTCCTTATATGACATTAATTCCAATGAGTGTTTCAACATGTCTATGAATAATAATGTATATGTTTATCTGTCTATGTAGAACAATGTATACGTCTATATGTCTGGTTATAAAAAAATTATCTATATTATGTAACTATTGCACCTTCTGCAATTTCAAGTGTTGGAATCATCGTCATCTGTCGTATAAACCCAATAACCCCACATTTACGCATTTGCATAATTTTTTTACCACCCACTTTTGCATATGCGTCGATTCAATCAAACAAAAAAATCTTAGTTCGATTTTTTGCCATAATCTTACCGATGATTAACTAATCAATATATATGTAACTCAAAATGTTGAAACCATAATTGAAGGAGTATCCGTAAAAGAACTATTCTATACAGCTAACACAGACAAATAATAGATGAAAATCAAAATCTTATCAAAACAAGAGGTTCACATTAGCTTGTATCGCTCACCATTCATTAAAAACTGTCAAAAACGCAGTTAAAATCAACATTATATGTACAACCCCAAAACAGGTTGTCAGATTTGTCTAAATGGTTTGAGTGTAGGTCTTATAATGTAAAACATTTGTAAAAGTTACATATGTTCAGATTAAAAAAATATATTTTCAAAAAACTTATATCGTTAAAAGACTTTACCTTGTTTTTTACAATTTTCAGAATATTCGATAGTTTTATTTGTATATAGATGTGCGGTTTGCTCGATGTGTTTGCATCAATTGTTTATATAAATATTGAAATCAAGAGTTAGACTGCTTGAATTTGCCTACATTGTTGTTATATAGAAATTCTTTTTTATTCATTATTACTATTAATCAGAACGTGTTCTCGTGGATTTATAATCATTATCTATATTACAGAGAATGCACCAAACAGTGAAGCTATCCGTTTCTAAGTGTTTCCACTAAAAGTAAAAGAAGACATATGCTTGTTAACAGTTTCTTTTTTACTTTACTTAGTTTTACTTTTCGATCGGTATTTTGACCAAGTTTGTTACTCGTTACTGATCGACCGGTTACAAGATATATCCGTCACAATTTTGTCATATCAATAACAAATATTTCAACAATTACACATTTTAAAATTATTCTCAGCGTTTAGAACCTTACCATTTTGACAGTCTAAATAAATTGGAAATACATAAAAGGAAACGATTTTTGACCCAAAGACCAGAGTAGATTTATATAATAGCCAATACAAATATATTTGAAATGATGATCAAGTATCCATGTTTTGCTCTTACGAATTTGACAACACTCCACTACACAGTAAAGGTTTTGAAAAAATTCCATTCTACTTTAAAGGATCTAACAACTGTCTTAGCTTCTTTTTGTTCTCAAACTTATTACGTCCAGCAATGAAATATCTGCTTGATATATTGAGTCCTGTTTCATTGCAACAAATCCTCAATATTCCGAAGATGATCGACTCATATAATATAAAACAAGGCGTTGGATGAGCAGTAAAAAAGAAGCGTGGTAACAGGATTTACATTTTAATTCGATTGCGCTAACTGTGATTCTCCGTATGAAAATTAAAGCAATTTCAACAACCGAAGTGAACTAATTACTATAATAAGGTCGGCTACGGGTGCTCATCACTAATCCAATTTAGTAAGTAACACAGACATCTCCTTAGTTGATAGCAATGTTAAAAACTATAGGAACAGCAGTTTTAAACCTTCTTCCGAAATAAAGCCATTGGTAATTTGTTCCGTACATACTATCTTACAACTAGGCCATTAAGAAGGACTCCGTCTTGGACGTACCTGGGGAAGATTATTCTGGTGCAGTGTGCATAGAAAAGAACCCTATGAAGCTTCAGTAGATAAAATATACATAAGAAATTAGTACAATAACAAAATAACAAAATTGTGATGAATGGTATGCATGGTGGAATAAATTCTAAGTAAAAGAATGAAATAGAGTAAAAACATAACCAACTCAACATGGTTAAAAAAGCCACAAAGAAACAATATACAATCTTGAAAACATTGAATAAGTCTTTAGAATGCAAAATTATAATATTGCGTCTTCAATGATCTTCAACTTCGTACTTTATTCGGCCTTTTAACTTTTATGATTCCTGCGTCACTTATGAGTCTAAATAGACGAAACGCGCGTCTGGAGTATTATGTTTAAAGCCTGGTATCTAAGATGAGTTTATTGTAAACAAAAGATTATTATGCCTGTTGTACAGGCTTAATACAGTACTCTTTGGTAGACACTCATTTCCGGTTTCTGTTTGGTATTAATGGTAAATATTCTTTGCTTGACTTTGACAGTGTGTATGACCATCGGTTGATGGCTCCGACATAAAACCTTGTATCACCAATCTGTTTCGTTCAGTCGACCCCGCTACAATACGAACATATTTAATTATAAAATAAGATTAGTTTAAAGTTTTTCAGTTCGATTTTATTACGTAAGTTTAATTGAGAAAATAATATGTTTTAGTTACAAAAGGATGTAAATCCACATACAAATAAAACAAGCGTATAAATATTTCCTTTCTCTATTTGAACTGTACACGTATACCTAACAACAAAATTATTTTCATTTACCTGTGTTTAAAGTAATTGCAAATGGCTGATATTTTTGTTCGAGGATATAGTTTTTCTTACTTTGTTTAACATTTCATAGCGGTATAACATGTTATTTTTATTATTCTTCCCTTAGATTATTTATTTTGTATTTACATTGTATCATAGATCAAATTTATTTGTTCTGTGTATGTTCATTGGTGTTAATATGTCCTTTGATTGAGTTAAGCCATTTCAGTTGATATTTTATAGTGTGTCTTTCTATGTTGTGATGTTACACTATTGTTTCAGAAAAAGGATGAAGGTTTGGTACCATTAAAACGTTTAAACCCGCTGCAATTGTTTGCACCTGTCCTAAGTCCGGAATCTGATGTTCAGTGGTTGTCGTTTGTTGATGTGGTTCATAAGTGTTTCTCTTTTCTCGTTTTTTATATAGATTAGACCGTTGGTTTTCCCGTTTGAATGGCTTTACACTAGTAATTTTTGGGGACCTGTATAGATTGCTGTTCGGTGTGAGCCAAGGCTCCGTGTTGAAGACCGTACTTTGACCTATAATGGTTTACTTTTATAAATTTTGACTTGGATGGAGAGTTGGCTCATTGGCACTCATACCACATCTTCTTATATCTATTTATGAAAATAATTCCGACGGTGCTAATAACAGTCATGTTTTACAAAATTCTCCCGTTATCATTGTAAAAAAATAAATGTTTAACAACTAGTAGTGCCTGACAATGCTTGTAAGAAACATGAAGACTGTAAGACATTATGCTGTGTGTCATGTTATAATATCCTGAAAATAGCAAAAGTCCAACAATCTTCATAAAAACTGTCAAATCAAAGTATGGCCAATTAGACTTGGCGAAGAGCAATCCTTAAAAGTTCGAAAACTTTGTATAAAACGCATTCGAGGAATAAGTCAAGAGTATTTAAATATGTGTTTGACGGACGGAGAACACTAAAACTATGTCCCTCCAACAAAGTGCGCATAAGGACAATTTGAATTAAATACAGATCCTGTGTCCAAGCTTTGCTTACAAGAATCTTTTAAACCCTCCGTTCTACTCTCTCTTTCGGGATCCTCCGGTTCTGTTGGATTAATACACGCCTTCAAACTTTTGAAGGCTTAAACTTCATCGGTTGATGAAATAGTTACAAGAATAGAAGGTAAAACGGAGTGTAATCAGGCCCTTGTAAGCTTAGCGTAGGCATAGGATCTGCAGATCTGCATTTTAATCAGGTTGAAAAAAGACAGTGACACAATCAAACGAATAGTCTTACCATGAACGAGTAAAAGTCGTCGTCTTCGTCGTCTATACGCGATACAAGCTGTGATAACCAATGCCACGAAGACCACTACAGCAATCAGAATCCCAATAGTAGCTCCTGTAGAGTTACAGCAGTGTTTTAATCCACCAGGTTTATAGGCGCCACAACAGCCAGCAAGGCAGTACTCATAACTAGAGGTATAGTAAGTTGGATTCGTATGTTCGTAGTAGCAAGATCCGACATACACTCTAGCTTCAGAGGAAGAAAAGGATAAAATACGTTAAATTTACTTAATAAATCAAAATGCATTACCTGGTTGTAATCTAATAATTCTGTCTGTCAGATTTCATTTCATAAGTCATGTTTTTGTACTAGGCAAGTGTTTAAGCTCCTTTGGCAAAGCATATCTTGAAAAGGATGTGGCTATTCATTTACTTGGCTTTTTTTCTACACCAGGCCAGGCATAGACTGCTTTACTGTATTTGGCACAACTTTTCGGAAATGTTTGTTTTTTAATGCTCTTCAACTTCGTATTTGATTTGACCTTCCAACTGATTCCAGCACTACTGATGAGTCTTATGTAGACAAAACGCGCATCAGGAATGCATAATTATAAGCCTTGTATATTTTATAAGTGTCTCTTCCAAATGTTTGGTATATAGCGTACTTTATGAAGGTTATTGATAAACCAAATATCGTGTGTACTAAAATCGGCTTTAATCATTTTTATAAAATGTTTGAATTATTTCTTTTAATTCTAAGGTGTTAAAAACGTAATGTCGTCGGTTACATAATATTTCATATTACTTCACCTCGAGATAAATTGTTTGTTGATCTGAAAAGAAAAACTATATTTGTTGGGTTTTTTAATTCCCTAAATGGGTCTGAATTAGTTTAGTAGAAGAAAAAAAAAAAACATAATTTCCTATTAAAGTTTCTTTACCCTTTTTTTCTAAATAAAATAAAAATAATATTTCTGACCCAACACTAACAAAAATTATTAAATACAAGCTTCGATCAATGATTTCAACTTGCATGAGGCGCAAAACCTCTACATTTTCAAATTCATATTCTATACGGGAAAAGCAGCGCGTGACGTAACATTCGAACAAATAGTGGTAAGAAAATTTCTTAATACATGTATCCGCACATTAAACTGAAAACATTACGTTTATAGTTTGAATGTAAAACTAAATGAACATATCTGATACTAGTAATTAACTTACCAAAGAATGACGATATCAACACAATATTTTCCATGTTTTAATTAGCACCGTTTATCTTACCTATCAATTTAATATAAATGAAATTTTAGCTACATTGAAGAGGGAAGGTTAATTTAATTACTTCCTAATATGACACTTAAATTAGTATACGGAATCATCTGTTACCATATGTTGTATTCAGAACGATTAATTTGAAAAGTAATTGACGTATTGTCTAAATTTATGTACTACATGTACCTTAAACCTCCTCGCTTTTGAAAATCCTATTTACAAAAAAAATATTTGGCTTCTCCTCATTTTTTTCGGTCTAAAACGACTTTAATACTATAACAATTAGTGAGTCGTACTTATAAATTGAAAATTGAGAACACTACGTAACATCCTCTATTAATAGGTGTCTTACCATTACAATGCCAATAAAGCCGGAAGTTGTGTCTACTAAGCCATTTATTGTAGCGAGCATATATTATTCGGTGCTTTTCTAAAGGTAATGTGAGTACATATTAAATTGTACGTGTAAACGGTAGTTTATTTAATCATCTATAAAGTTGTTGCAATTTTCCTCAGACTTCTTTGTTAATTATGTTAAATAACGCGACTAGAATCAATACGCACAGGCATGGTTACATTTTTCAGTTTGATTTCGACTTACGATCTTGAATGTCCTTTTGGTATCTTTCGCCTCTCTTGTGCTCGGTTAACCCGTAAAATAAACATCAAACTTCCAATGCCCCCTCAAATTAATAAGGCACAAGATATCAAAATATGTAAGTTCATTTGTCAATTTCTTTAAAACAAACAAGCAATTGAGTTCGGTATTTTTGCTATTATAATTTTATCTGTACTCACTTCGATAAAAAAAACCCATATTTAAATCCATTCTTTTAAAAATATAAGTGATGGCATCAGTGACGCCTTTTATCTGTTTCTATATTACATTCTCAACTATAAAATTCGCAGAAAAAAGTGGACAATGAAATCTTAAATCATCTAAAGAAAGAATAAACATATTTCATTAAGCGCCCATCTGACTTCTTGTAGACTAAAACTGTTCGACATGTAATTCCAGAAAATATAGAATTGAAAAAAAAATTAAATACTGCCAATAAAACTTTGAAATGTCTATAAATGCATTTCATAGTATAGCATGCCCACAGAAAACACTTCATCAATATTGCAAAATTTCTAAATCGTGATATATTTTTCATTAGGTCTTTGAATGTTTAAGGATCCACATCTGATTGACAACACTGGTAGAATACAATTCGTCACAATATGTCTGTAGAAATAATTGAAGTAAAGACTTAAGAAAGATGTTTATTCAGTCAGATGTAAATGACCTGGCTGTAAATCGCTCATTAGTATGTTTTTGCGAAGTTTGGGTATCCAGTTTTAAGACTGTACACTGTCATCGTCCTTTTTTGTAAGTACCAAAGGAGAGAAGGACGGAGTTTTTTCTCCCCTATCGTGAATGATGTAAGGGTAACTTAGTCCATTAGGTCATAGCTTTGGAAAACATAAGCTTTTACTATTCAGGTACAATTTAGAACCAAGAAAAGAGATGCATAGTAAATGTAATTTGTTTTGGTATACATTTCAATTTATTATATATCAAAGTACATCAATGTGTGTCTATGTAGTTTAGAGAATATACACGGTGGAGATATTGGGTAGTCTGTATATCGTCGATACAAACATAGTCCATCAACTCTCTTTGATAAAGGTCTACCAAATACGTGTTATGACCTTCCATTATCCAGCACAAGAACTGCCCAAATTTTATGGTAACTAGTTCCATCCATCTTCGTTCCGGATAATACTCCAACGGTGTATTTAAGCTGATGAAATTGAAAATAGGAAAGATGGTATATTATAATGAACATTTCTGTAATGCTTCACTAGTCAATAAAGCACTTGACAAATATTCGATAATTCACAATTATAATTATAATTATATATATATTAATTGTAATTGTGTATTTAAAGTCGATAATTGGTTTAGATATGAGGATGTCCGGTTTCAAATATATATTTTGTACTTTACATAACATGTTAGTTCTAACAGCCAACAATATAATGCACCAAGTGTGTTTACAAACATGAATCTTTGAATAAAGACACACTTGAAATGACATTTATCCTAATTGATTTATCAGTCAATGTAAGAGATAAAAAGTCCGGTAAACGTTACTTGAGTAGGTCAAGCAAATCTCTTCAATAAAGGTGAAAAAGATGTTTTTTAAACAATGAATTATCTGCAATTGTATTAACCTTTACTTAAAAAATTATCGATTTAAAGTTCAAATATTCACAGTTTAAAGCACAGATTGAGATTTTGATGAATAGTGTCGTTATCATGATGGTTCAGTCACCGTTGTCAGTGCTGTTGACGTTAGTTCTGGTAAGCAGGCGCATTAGGAGTGATTTGTTGTGAATATATGTTTCCGGTTCCTGTTTGTGGCGGATATATATACCCGGTTGTTGTGTTTCTTTGCTGGTAATTATACCGTCCTTGACTTTGATAATGACTATGGCCAGCTGCTGAAGGATACTGTGTGGCTGGTGTAGCTGGTGATATAAGTCTGTCTCGTTCATTTGATCCTCCTATAAATAAGATTTACTTTATTTAGTGGTTTGTTTCACTTTTAATTTGACATATTACAAGATCATGACTCAAATACCAGTAAAATTGTTTTTGGAATATGAAGCTGCTTCAAATTAATTGATTATGTCATTTGAAATGCATTTACTTTTTTTCGCAGTAGCTAGGAACAAGTTCGAACTTACCCTTAAAGGCTAGATTTACAATTGTATAAAAATACTTTATACACATGAGAGTTGATATCAGAAGTAGAAACATGACATGTAAATTTTTGACAAAACAGAAACAGACAGAACATTATACAGCGTGTTAAAATTGGACCGCACCAAACACTGGAGTCGGTATGAAATGCATCATCCTTTGTCTTAAATAAAACAAAAACAAAATATACCAGTTTGCTCACAAAGACCTGCTGTCCTGGATTAGTTATCAACAGGAACTGAGAGATAAAATATTAATGCATGGGAGGCTTAGAAGTATAAAAAAAGGTAACCAACAAATCATCAAGTAAACTTTGCATATGAAAAAGTATTCATTGTGTCTTGATAATTCATAAATAAATTAATCATTCCGTTCTCACATTGTTGGAATATATACCAAGTCTTGAATTCACCACAACAAAGATCTGTGTTATATGAGACTATAATAAAACGACATAATGATACGACCAAAGCAGATTTAAATCTTGAAGATACATTCAAGTCATGGTCCTGTCTATAAAGTACTGATATACACAAAAATACTCTATTTGTGCATTTGAAACCCCCGATTGCTTAAGCTATATCTACATTGGGTCATTGCAGGCAACTTCAAAACCAAGTATAGATGACCCCAAATAGCACCTTATTCCCAAATTGTCTTGAAAACGTATTTTATTATTTAAACTATAAAATAAATTTGTAATGTAAATGTTGGTCATCATCACTGCATTTGATGATGTTTAATCACCATCATTGCTATTCAGTAACCTCATTTAAAGATTGCAGGTTGATAGGCAGGTACGATTTAAACTAAAAATACAGACAGTGTAACCAATCTGAGAGAAATAAGCATTTAAATCAAGAGCGACCAAATTTTGCCTTTTATTGAGATATATGTCACTACGTTTCAGGAATGAACATTTAACAAAGACCATCGAAGCATAAAATGTAAGTATGAGATAAAACATCGAAAACTCTAAGTTCGGTGTTAGCTTTTATGTTACTTGATTTTTGTGGTTCGTGCTGATCTGATCAGTCGAGCTATTTCCCAATGATTTTTACATTGTGTTCTTATGATGAGATGTTATACGCTTTCCGTGATTAAGAGACGATTGAGCCTTAATTCACAAACATGTTTAACTCGTCCACATGTTATATGTACTAGTATCTAGTCAGGAGCCTTTCGTTTAATGAATAACGTTGATGGCTGTCTGTCTTATTACTTTTTCGTTAATTGTTTTGTCATAAATCAGGCTATTGTGTTTTACGTTTAAATGATTTTTCATTTTTCATGTCGGGGCCATCTATGGACTGTTCTGTTTGGGTTTTTGCTCACTGTTGTTGATCGTACAGTGACTTAATCCCAATTTAATATTCTTGTACGTGTCTATAAATTAAATAAATCTATTTCATTCTTAGATATTTACCTGTGATAATATAAACGTCACAAAAAATACGTCACAATATGTGACGTTGATTCATTCATGTGATGCGCAGTTTATATTTCGTGTGTGGTGTCCTGGTGTGCTGTCGTAAATTCATGTGAGGTGTCCGTTGTTATTCTGCGGTTTACATGTTGTAATGTACTATCATATTATTTATTTGTGTATTTCTGAGTGTTCTTGCGTTTGTTTGTACTGTATTCCTGTCACGTAGTGTTGTCATTTTACCGGTATTTTTAACATTGCCATATAAGCGGGAGGTTTGGCTAGCCATAAAACCATGTTCAACCCACCATGTTTTCTTAAAATGTCCTGTACCCTCGGTGTTTCCCTCGGTTTAAGTTTGTTACCCGGATTTGTTTTTGCTTAATCGAATTACTAGTATGTCTACTGAACAGCGGTATATTACTGTTGCCTTTATTTATAGTTATTGAAATCCATTTCATTTTGACTATGTTGGATAGTTGTCTCAATGGCAAGAATAGCATACCATCGCTTTATTATATAATGATTGACTATAATTTTGTTCCCAATTTGATGAGTTCTGACAGGAGGACTGGGACATTATAACTTAAGGTGGTACCCAACACCTTGACTAATATTAATTTGGCTCGTTTAATTTTCATAAAATTTTGACAAAATGTTTACTTTGACCCTTTGACAAAAATATAAAAATTTCAAATAATTTGAACCAACCACTTTATCAGAAAAAATTCACTGGTTATATAGCAGTTTGACAAATACTAATTTTGATCATTGAGAAGCTTAATATTTCCTTAACAGTACAACGTAATTAAAACGTTTAGCTGATTTTTACAGAGTTATCTCCCTGTAGTGTTAGGTACCACCTTAAGAAAAGTCAAATAGGTATATAAAATATGTAGTTTCACTAGAAGCATCATAACACTAAGTTGTGTTATTGCAATCTAAACATAAGAATTAGACTCAGCCTTTAAAAAAAACCAGTTCATTGTTAATATTCAAATGTATCTATTGGAATAATTTGTTAAAGTGCTGGTTCATTCCCCTATATTATATGAATGAGTTAACATAGTTTCAGGGGACTTTTCGTGGTTGTGAAACTGAATCGAAGTGATTTTACGGATGAGTTAATTTTGGTAAAACAGAAATAATATAAGTAATATGACCTTTATTTAATTTTACATACGTTTTCCTTTCAAATTGCAACTGAGTATAAGTCATAGTGTCTACGTTAATTACAACCTGAATATTGAATTTGTATGTATACGACGTGGGTTCATGAGGTATGTAAACAGGCCGCGTTATCTTATATAATTAATTTTCAAATCAGTTTCAAACAACACATTTATTTTTTTTGAAAATAATTTTATCTTTATAAGCAAGACTGTTAAGTAAGTGTCCATAAATCGGCACGGTATGAAAATATATCTTTTTCATTGTATTATAAAACAAATTACTTATGACTGTATTTGTCTGCATTCTGTACCAAGATAATTTACTTAATTAACAAGAAGGACAGACAAAACAATAGCATTAAAATTTAGGTTAGAGGCAAATAATAATTCAAATAAAAATAATATAGCAAAATAAATAAAGATACGTCATAATCCAACTAGAAACGACTCAGGACAGGTGCTTTGAAACTATATAAAAAACCACCATGCCCAAAAGGTACATACGAATAGAATCGACAATAATGGAACTTTCAAAAAGTCTATGTACACTTACTGATAACGAATGAATCACTCCGATGTCTTCTTCTACATAGGGCACAAACTACAACAATTAATATAAGAAATGCTGCAGCACCAAAAAATATTCCTATAATGGCTCCTGCATCCTTACAGCAATGTTTTATACCATCTATTTCGGTTGAACCACAACAACCAGTAAGACAGAACTCATAATCGTTATATATCAAATATGGTGATAATCTGTTTTCATAATAGCACGATCCTGCATTACCTCCAGCTGCAGTATAATAAAATAACTCATTGTTACAATAAAACAATCGAATTTATCATTATATAGTAAGAATAAGAAAATTTTCGGAAATATACAATCAAAATAAATAAATGACATAATTGCATACAGTCAGGATGATTTCTTTACTCTCAGAATATTTTGTCATAAAACTGTTCTAAACTATTCAACCCCCAAACAGTTACACCATGTTAAACGCTTTAACTCTCAGATTCAGTATAGGGTAGAGATGTCCAAAACTGTTCTAGGATATATCTATCTAAATTTTGTCTAGGGTAGAGCTGTCAGATATTGTTCTTAATAACGTAATTTAGATTAGTACTTTTTGAGAAAATAAGAGACAGTTATCCATATTCGACATATTTAAGATAAAGGATAACATAATAAAAATATTGATGAAGTATGTCAGTAATGGTAAAAGTTCAATGATAAGTTAATATTGACATCATAAGACCTTCGAACAAAAAGGAATGTTGAGATTTGAACAGCCCATTTTGTGAGGTCTTTTAATGTCAATATTAACTTAATCATTGAACTTTCACTGACTTACAAACCATCAAAGATATAAGAAAAATACGCCAAAAACACTTGCAGAAGCCTAATTCTCCTGAATTGGACGAGTCTAAATATATTCAACTTAAATAATAGTTAAACAGTACTCAGACTGATATATACAAGTAACAGTTACCAACTTGCATTGGAAACGGACCGATTAAATGGCAGCACATCATTTAGTTATTTATTTATTATAATTTTTTTAGCAAAAAATAACACCATATGGTAGTTTTATAAAATTATGGTGTTAATTTATATTTTTGAATTCCAACTTTTTAAAATAACGATTTTTATTTTATAAATGAGTAAGTCAAAAACCTATGCAAACCTCGTTTGTAACTGACCAATGAATGTTCTGTACAAAAACTTCTTGTTAAATATATTTGTTGTTTTTAATCTGTCAGTAACCATGCAATAGATTCGTAAAGACCAGACCATATGAAAACAGTAAGTAAACACTTCCAACAATTAGTTATTTGAATAGCTTGTTTCAAAACTTCTAATCGGACAGACCTAGATGCATAAGGTCCTTTACAATACTCAGGTAAATGTTCATTTTGGTTTTGATTCTGTAATTTTCCTACACTACGTTACATGCAAATGAAAAATAACTAGTGTAAAATTGAGAATGGAAATGGGGAATGTGTCAAAGAGACAACAACCCGACCATAGAGCAGACAACAGCCGAAGGCCACCAATGGGTCTTCAATGCAGCGAGAAACTCCCGCACCCGGAGGCGTCCTTCATCTGGCCCCTCAACAAATATGTATACTAGTTCAGTGATAATGGACGTCATACTAAACTAAACGTCATACTAGTCTGTTCAGTCGAATTAATTAAAAATTTTTGTTTTGTTTGGGTTTTTTTACAAAAAAATATTCCTGTAAACTTCAATGAAACAAACCCGTATTGAATAGCCTAAATATAACATCTTTAGCATCAAGTTATGTAGGCTTGAGAGGCTCGATCAAAACATGTATAGATGAGATATTTTCGCAAGGTTGATCATCATTCTTAAATTGAAATACAATGTACTATATGAAAACAAATACTTTTTTGTTGTCGTCCATAATTCCCTTTTCACGTCTAACTGAAGCATAAACACCTTGAAAAAACCTTTTCCCTTGCTTAGTTTTATACTCGCCTGACATAATTATATATCATAATTATCAATTATTGGCTTTTGACGAGGTCGATACGTTATATATGGACTTGGTCAGATTATATTGACCGAGGACGAAGTCTGAGATTCAAAATAATCTAACAGGTCCATATATAACGTATTGACTGAGTGAAAGTTCTTAATCTATATATTATATATGTAAATAGTGTAAGTTTGGAAATGATAATGACTCGATGTTCCTATTTTTTGGAAATTATATTGACTCGATGTTACTATTCTTAGTAACATGGAGTCAATATTATTTAAAAAAAAGGAACGTCGAGTCAATATGTCAAAAAAGTGAAAAAATACAAAAGATATATTGGGGAAACACGTGACCAAATATACCAATGAGAAACAAGAAACACCAGACCATATGTAATATATCGTAATAAAACAGAAGATAAGAACCATAGTAAAGAAATATTAAAATAAAATTATAAGTGTTCATTTATGTAGTAAATTGCAAAAATTGGCAAACAAAAAAACCATAAAAATTTTTGCACTATTATTGAGTGATTTAAATGCAAATTTTACATTATAGCATTTTACAAGCTCTTGTCTTCGTGTACTATGTACATGGAATAATTTATGAAGTTGATTGATTGTTGTTGTTTGCTTTACGTCCAGTGGCAAATATTTCATGCATGTTTATGACGAGAACACATAAATTTTAAATACAATAAGTAGGTCTTGCAATAGGAGGTCGACAGTGAGGTTGGACGTGAAACTTGGAATATCGCTAGAAAATGAGGATATATTGAATAAGGACAAAAATTAACCTTGCAACAGCTGTCCACATCCGAACCACTCAAATAATTGGTACAAGAGTTTTTAATTTGCAGAGAGTGTTGATCAATGAAATCTACTCTAAAGTCGGCAATCGGTATTTACGTGTAGTTTCCAATATCATATAAGGCATCTAATTTAGGTTAGATACTTTTAGCTCGCTTTAGTAACTGTGATAATTCTGTGAAACTGTATTGTTTATTGTACTTGAGTTTTTGGTATGATATTCTATACTACCGCTCGCCTCGTTGGTCTCGTGGGAGTGTGATCGCCTCGAGAGCGGGAGGTCGTTGGTTCGAATCCACACCGGGTCAAACAAAGACGTTAAAATTGGTATTTGTTGTTTCAACGCTAAACACGTGGCATTTAAGAGTAAGAGCACAGACTGGTCAGCTCGGAGTTAGAAATGTGTCCGGGTAGGGTGGCTTTTCTTCCTATGAACTGTTAGCTTGTGAACTTCCATGTTGAAAGTCCGGCTCAGCGTGTCGTCTTGTACAAAGCAGGATTATTATTCATATTACATTTACATGTTTTCGTTCTGAATATGCATTTAATTTGCCGCTGGACGTCATCTATTATCATCATCATTTATTTTACCGTTACTAAACAGTGAAATAGTTTTCTTCTACTGGTTTATGTTACACCTTCTTTACTTTCCACCGATCGAAATTAAAAAAGGGCAGGTGATATTTTTCAACCAAACACTTGTGTCTGTTGGGATATCTTTAACGGTAAAAATTATTAAATTAACTCTGTATTTTCTAGTCATGGGGCGATTTTGAGCTTATTATTCTGTTTAGGCATCTTTCTATTACAAAAGACTGTACATTGACTCTTAATGTTTTGATTTGTCTGTGTCGTTGGGTTGCTGTCGCATTAATGTATACCTTTATCTCCTTTTATTCAAAACCAAAGGATTGACTTGGGTATAGAAATATTCACCCTTGTTACAGGGGTGCGTCCGTTTGGCTGTTCGGATGTATAAATATGCAGCTTTGTCCGGTCGAAATAGAAATGTCGTATATACATTGCCTTGTGTAGTGAGAGTTTTACATTATCTATACGTTATAAAAAAAAAACTTCAAAAAAATAACAACACCGACCAGTTATAAGACAATATCTGAAGAATAAATAAAACGGCCAAAATAAGTTGAATCCTTCTATAAATTGTTGCCAACATTTTTTTATCCATTTTTGCTTTTATGACAATTATACCAGATATAAAAAAAAAACTCGACACACCAAATTGTGTCACCTAGACGAGACTGCCGTCGTTGTACGCTTCAAGATATGAGTTATATTGCCACTCAATGAAGATTTGTTTTCTGTTCTACTCCCTTCCTCCTAGTTTAACTGGATAGGATACAATATAACCCCTGATGTGGAAATTATCAATTATGTTATTGAATGTTAAAAAAAATATTAAATGCAAAGAGAAAAATGAAGAGAGAAATGATAAAAATTTACAATTAATATCAAATATAGATAAAAATCAAATATATAAAAATTGGAAAACAATTTGAGACAATTATCAACTGAAGAATGATGATTATACATCACTAAATGAAGCTGATTAATTGATTGTTCCCTTAATGTCCAGTGGCAAATTGCAAAGTGGATCGACCAGAAGCAAATGATAACAACTTTAGAGCGACACTTTAATAAGATAGAGCGTTGGCTAGAGGTAAAACGTATGCCGTACTAGAATAAAAAGAACCATGATCAAAATCGTAAGTTAAGCTCTTAACCCCCCCCCCCCCCCCCCTTTCCCCTCCTTTTTCCTCTACGTTAGACGAATGCCCAAAAACAAAGCGACATGAATTTACAATCAATAACAGTCACTATAAGATGATGATGAGGGTGGTTTTTTAATTACCTTGACTACCCATGAGGGTCTTGCACGGTCGGCCCTGGCTTGCGCCTTTTTGTGCATTTAATAATTTATTTTTACCTTATTATAAGGTAATTGATATAATTGAGTGCCAAAGGGAAATTAAAAAAAAAAACAACATATCATGAATAAAAAGTAAAATGAACAATAATTCGATAGAACAAATTAAAAAAAATAAATAAACATTTCCCGGTTTGGGACAGGTTTGTATTTCCACTCAAATACCGTCTGATTATTGATCGGAGATAATCAACCAAAAGCGCTTGGATTCTCTAACATGGTAAATTATGGTATTTCCCTGGCTGGTTTTTTTTTCCTGATCCTATTTTGGACCCCCTGATTCTAAGAGGGCGTGTCTAATTGGTCATGCCCGATTAACTTTTAGTAAATTGAACCTTTACTTCAAGACCTACACCGGATTAATAAGTTTGAGGTACAATAAGTAAACAAAAGAGATTCTTTATAAAATGAGATCGTCCCAGGTATCTTAGATAATTATTTTGCATTGAATAACAATGAAAAATGCACGAACAGGTTTGGAAGTTTTGTCATGTTTATAATCATATCTTTATCAAGCTACTTTCATTTTTATTCATTTATGCTAAAGCAGAAGAGGAATAAAATTGAGAATGGAAATGGGGAATGTGTCAAAGAGACAACAACCCGACCACAGAACAGACAACAGCAGAAGGCCACCAACAGGTCTTCAATGCAGCGAGAAATTCCCGCACCCGGAGGCGTCCTTCAGCTGGCCCCTAAACAAATATATATACTAGTTCAGTGATAATGAACGCCATACTAAACTCCAAATTGTACACAAGAAACTAAAATTAAAAATAATACAAGACTAACAAAGGCTAGAGGCTCCTGACTTAGGACAGGCGCAAAAATGCGGCGGGGTTAAACATGTTTATGAGATCTCAACCCTCCCCCTATATCTCTAGCCAATGTAGAAAAGTAAACGCATAACAATACGCACATTAAAATTCATTTCAAGAGAAGTCCGAGTCTGATGTCAGAAGATGTAACCAAAGAAAATAAACAAAATGACAATAATACATAAATAACAACAGACTACTAGCAGTTAACTGACATGCCAGCTCCAGACTTCAATTAAACTGATTGAAAGATTATGTCTTCATCATATGAATATCAGGCACAATCCTTCCCGTTAGGGGTTTAGTATCATACCATCATAACATATATGAGAAGAACATAACCCGTGTCATGCCAACAACTGGTTTTTAAATAAATGTGTTTCGTGCCGATGCAAAGACCCTATAAGTGAATCAATATTAACGCCAAAATATGCAATCTTTAATGACCTGACAACAGTATCGTAACTATATCCCTTCTTAATAAGTCTATTTAAAGGTTTTGTTAGTTTCAGAGGTGAATACTGACATTTTTGTGCTAAAAATATAAAGAATATTTCCATAAAAAATTGGATGTGAAATACCTGAACGTATAAGAAGTCTGCATGTTGAGCTATATTTACGAATGATGTCCTTATACCGATGATAAAATTTAGTAAATGTTTTGACTAGTTTGTGATATCGAAAACCCTGGTGTAATAATTTTTCAGTAATACATAAATTTCTCTCGTTAAAATCTAAAACATTGTTACATACACGAGCGAATCGTACAAGTTGAGATATATAAACACCGTAAGATGGTGACAAGGGAACGTCACCATCTAAAAATGGATAATTAACGATAGGAAATGAAAAATCATCTCTTTTATCATATATTTTAGTATTAAGCTTTCCGTTAATGATATAGATATCAAGATCGAGGAAAGGGCAGTGGTCATTGTTAGTATTAGCTTTATTTAAAGTAAGTTCAACAGGATAAATTTCTTTAGTATACATACTGAAGTCGTCATTATTGAGAGCCAAAATATCATCCAAATATCTAAAAGTATTATTAAATTTGTGTATCAGATGTTGTTTCGATGGGTCTTTACTGATTTTTGTCATAAATTGTAACTCATAGCAATACAAAAAAAGGTCCGCATAAGTATATGTTTAATGTTTCCGTGATTATTTTCTAAAATGATATATTCTCTTTGGAAAAAATATTTCACATTAACAGAAGCTCTTTTTGGGTAAATTACATATTATATAAAGTGTACATATCATTTACTCGAGGAGTGCCTTAATACCTGTGTTTATTATAAAAATGACATTATACAACATTATGTAGTGATTCATATGTGGTTAAATCATATTTTTCGAATTTTACATATCGTTATAAAATCATTTCATAGGCTAGTAAAGGAAAACATTATAGCCGATTACACTCCTGTAAATATAGACAATGCAATTTCCCATAGGAACTCCTTTTACGGCTAAAACTGTGCCACTATTACTATGACGTTTCTTAAACAATTATATCCTATTCAACGGTCAAAACATAGGCCTGTGCGGCATATTTTCAACATGTATATGCCCCGAACTTGTGAGAGTTTAAACTTATACTAAAATTATGTACTACCCCTCCCTTCACTTTGGGTCGTCCTCAGGATTTAATTTCGCCGTTATCAATGTGTATTTATACTGATAACATTCCCAAGTTATGTCTCCACGAGATGCAACATAGAGATCATATCTGGGAACCAGTACATAAACAAAATAAAATATCTATGAATATTATATATCTCACCAAAAGAGGCGTGGTTTGTGAAACAGCTGTATATACAAAGTGCAGCCTATAGCAATTACAAAATATGGAGAAAACCAAATAAACATGTAACAACGATATTCCAGACTAATTTGTTTCAAAATATAAAGATAAAATAACAAAGTCATCAATAATAGATAAACAAAAAATGAAAAATAAATTATGAATAAAATTGATAAAACTGTCCTAAAATTTCATGGGATAAAACTGACAAGATTTATTCTATTGTAAATCTGTTGAATCCGTTCCAATCTTGAAATATCTATGGTAGAACAGCGATAATCTGCCCTCTAGCGGAAATGCAAGAAACTATTCTAAATATGTCAGTTGAACTCTTTTAGAGACTGTTTTAAACTAGTTCTTTTCACAGTTCCTGACAATTTTAACGATAGGTTATAATTTATGAAACCAGTACCTTCTTATCATTTAAAAGACAATGAACGAAATGTATTCTGTTTAATCAATGTTCGTAGCTAGTATGAAGGGTTGTTGCCGGATTATAATTAATGGCCTGTCTTTATTATCTATACAGTGTTTGCACAATTAGAAGTAATTTCAAAATGATATTAAGATTCAATCTCCAGTGTGGATTTATTCACATGTGTGGGTGCAAATATCGTGGTTTTGTCCAATTCTGCATTAAATCGATATGAAGTTTATTTTGTTGAATAATGAAATTTATCATTCAATATCTGGTAAGTACATGCACTCTAAAACGATCATAACCAGGCAACATGCGTTGACAGGGTACACATCGCCTGCTCTATAGATATAAGAAGATGTGGTATGAGTGCCAATGAGACAACTCTCCATCCAAGTCAAAATTTATAAAAGTAAAGCATTATAGGTCACAGTACGGTCTTCAACACGGAGCCTTGGCTCACACCGAACAGTAAGCTATAAAGGGCCCCAAAAAATTACTAGTGTAAAACCATTCAAACGGGAAAACCAACGGTCTAATCTATATAAAAAACGAGAAACGAGAAACACTTATGAACCACATCAACAAACGACAACTACTGAACATTAGATTCCTGACTTAGGACAGGTGCAAACAAATGCAGCGGGTTTAAACGTTTTAATGGTACCAAATCTTCACCCTTTTTCTGAAACATAGTGTAACATCACAACATAGAAAGACACACGCATGCATAAACCATGCGTAATTAGAGTCGGTCAAAAATGTCATGGAAGTACTAGTTAATAGACGTAATCGGTATATTAAAGAGAGGCTGAAAATACCAAAGGGATAGTCAAACTCATAAGTCGAAAACGAAATGACAATGCCATGGCAGAAAATTGCAGATCAGACAAATCTCTTGTGAGTTGCTACACAAACTCATCGATTTCACTAAAAAGATTACGATAGTTTAACACCGCACGATAGAATAGAGAGTATGGTTAACTGACGACTGAAAACCAACAATTGAAAAAAACTGAAATCAGCAAAGTTTGTTATAATTCTAATTTTCATTTTTACATTTTTTGGATAACTTATTGACTTTAAATTCATACATACATCATGTACATTATAGATATATAAGACATAGTTTTTGTGTATACATGTATGAACATATTCTGTATACTATGCTAAGCAACACATTTATAATCATTACTTAAACATGGAAGTAATATTCAATATTACTTCCATGCATATACTTTTAAGGCTAATATACAATAATTATTTTATACAAATAAACTTACCAAAGATCGACAATAGCAATACAATTATCTTCATATTTCTATTTGTTTGAACGGGTACGTCTAATTTAGATTTTTGTTTAGTTCCTGGTCACATTAAAGGCGGAATGTTTCACTTCCTTATATGACTAATCGTGTGTTCTATTGATAATTGTCAATTGTAAAACAATTGATACATGTTAAATTATAAACTATTATTCCTTCCGTGTTTCAAGGTTATGAAATCAACCTTAATTTATCGTTGAACTTTCAAAATACATTTTACTATGTTTATTTACCTATTTCGTTCACAAAAATACAATGATTTTTTCCTTAAAAGTGACTGTAACTATCACAGTCCTTGTACTTGTAGTGCTGGATTTTGAAACTTTTTATTGAAATACAAGAGATTGCTTCTCATTAATATTAACCCAAAAAAGGGGAGACCAGAGTCAAAAGTTGCCATAAGCTCAGTAGTCAGTACTTCGGTACTGACATGATTTATAACAAACTTTTCTAAAATTACCCGTTTACAAATTTTGTTTTATGTATTTTTGTCATATAGCTCTTCAACTGTTTCGGTACTTATACATCCCTCGGATTTCAAATGTTTGGCTTTGAGTGTTCCTGATGAAGGTAAATCAAGAAAAGCGCTTCGGACTCATGAAATTATTAAACGTGTTGTTTTCAATTTTTTACCGATTAAAAAAAAACACAGACGGAACAAACAACAATTTATCATAGCAAAAATAAAATGACAAAAAGACAGATAACGAATTTACCTTCGTCGGCAACGCTAAAACATATGTAAGTCAAGTATGTATACAGACCTAAAAACTTCAGATTTATTGACAAAAGGTCAACTTTGTCCTTTATTTATCGACGGAGAATTTACGAAGGTATGTAATAAATCCTGTCAGTACCAAAATACAAATTACCGACCTGATTATTTTCGGTAATTAATAGAACAACAGCAGCTGTCTCGACCCATTGCTATACAAACACTTTTGTTTGTTTTTTCTATGCAGTGTTTAATGCCACTTTCTTCGAATTTGGCTACACAAGTTATCATTTCAAAAATTGTTTGCGTAGGAACTGGAGTTCTAAGAGAGTACCACTACTCTTAGGCGAGAAAACTGACAATTCTTATTAATCAAAATAGGAGTCCAACACACATCGACACTGGCGAGGTTCTCAAACTCACAACCTCTGAGTTGAAAACCTAGTGATCACTTTAAATGAACTAATTAGACAAAATGACCCTCAGACAATGACACCAACACTTAAAAATATGTTGCGTCTAAAAAACTTTTCTTGAATTTTTTCATCGTAAGGGTAAAACACACACATTTAAAGCCAATATCGATAAGGTGCAACACGAACCAAACAAAACCACAGACTGTGATGAATTCAATTTTTCCGGAAGGGTAACCAAATGGTCACCGTTTATTTGAAATTAAAAGAACGATTTCAAAATGAGAAAGTTCAAAGTTAGAGTCATGTCTATAAATAGTTGAGTTTGAACTAAACAGAAGAAACTTGAAGAAGCAATGGGAAGAATACATGTGCATTGTTTGATTAATCTGTTTTAATGGTTTATAAAACTTTGACTTTTTTGAAATACCAAGGATATTCTACCCAAAGAATAGATTACCTTGGCTGTTTTTAGCTCACCTGGCCCAAAGGGCCAAGTGAGCTTTTCTCATCACTTGGCGTCCGTCGTCCGTCGTCGTCGTCGTCCGTCGTCGTTAACTTTTACAAAAATCTTCTCCTCTGAAACTACTTGGCCAAATTAAACCAAACTTGGCCACAATCATCATTGGGGTACCTAATTTAAAAAAATGTGTCCGGTGACCCGGCCAACCAACCAAAATGGCCGCCATAGCTAAAAATAGAACACAGGGGTAAAATGTAGATTTTGGCTTATATCTCTGAAACCAAAGCATTTAGAGCAAATCTGACAATTGTTTATCAGGTCAAGATCTATCTGCCCTGAAATTTTCAGATGAATCGGACAACCCGTTGTTGGGTTGCTGCCCCTGAATTGGTAATTTTAAGGAAATTTTGCCGTTTTTGGTTATTATCTTGAATATTATTATAGATAGAGATAAACTGTAAACAGCAATAATGTTCAGCAAAGTAAGATCTACAAATAAGTCAACTTGACCAAAATGGTCAGTTGATCCCTTAAGGAGTTATTGCCCTTTATAGTCAATTTTTAACCATTTTTCGTAAATTTTTGTAATCTTTTACAAAAATCTCCTCCTCTGAAACTAATAAGACAAATTTAACCAAACTTGTCCACAATGATCATTAGGATATCTAGTTTAAAAAATGTGTCCGATGACCCCGCCCGAGAACCAAGATGGCGGACATGGCTAAAAAATAGTACATGGGGTAAAATGCAGTTTTTGGCTCATATCTCTTAAACCAAAGCATTTAGAGCAAATCTGACGATGATAAAATTGTTCATTAGGTCAAGATCTATCTGCCCTGAAATTTTCAGACCAATCAGGCAACACGTTGTTGGGTTGCTGCCCCTGAATTGGTAATTTTAAGAAAATTTTGCAGCTTTTGGTTATTATCTTGAATATTATTAGAGATAGAGATAAACTGTAAACAGCAATAATGTACACCAAAGTAAGATCTACAATTAAGTAACCATGACCAAAATTGTCAATTGACCCCTTAAGGAGTTATTGCCCTTTATAGTCAATTTTTTACAAATTTCATAAATTTTGTAAATTTTTGTAAATTTTTACAAAATATTTTCCACTGTAACTACTGGGCCAAGTTCATTATAGATAGAGATAATTGTAAGCAGCAAGAATGTTCAGTAAAGTAAGATCTACAAACACATCACCATCACCAAAACACAATTTTGTCATGAATCCATCTGTGTCCTTTGTTTAATAAGCACATAGACCAAGGTGAGCGATCCAGGCTCTTTAGAGCCTCTAGTTTGCAAAACCTTCCGTTTGACTTCTATAAGTCTTCGAATAATACATTAGATCCCAGACACTCCGAAAGGGAAAGCAGGTTCGTGTGGCACCCATCGTGTTGGTCATGGTAACCATAAAGTCGTTCATTTGCATTTGAGTAAATGGTACTGTAAATGACAATTGAATGGCTATATATGTGATTAAAACTCATACTTCTCTCTGTCTAGATTGGGTTGATAAATATATATTTACTATAGAAACCAAATGGAGGACTGTTTAGTTTATTTCCAAAATAGTATGGCCTCCTTTGTCAAGGTTTACATGATTATAACAGAAACAATGTGATTCTCATTCCGCTATCACATATGAAATTTTGATTTTCAATAATATATATTATGAGATTATTTGATATAACTCAAACTTTCAATTTTCAAAACTTATTTTTAGTCTTTGATTAAACACACAGATACCTTATTTTTTCAAAATATTTAAAACATGTCATTGACTGACTGTATTTATTTTTATTCTTTGATTAAACACACAGATACCTTATTTAAAATTTTAAAACAAGGCACACTATATAACAGTCATATCAAGCACATTGAAATGCTAAGTAAAGTCACACGAGAGTATAATCCAGAATATCTACCGCACTGTATGAAGCGGTTTCGATAAAAACAAATCTGTAGTATTCGTCATAGGGGCTGCTTCGTTCGTTCCAGTTCGGGCTATGCCCGGTAAGCGTTACCACGTGACCGGGTTAAAAAGCGGCTAAAGCAAAAAGAGTGGAACCGGCTTAATCATGCAAATACGGCGACTGAAGTACTGTACTTCAGTCGCCATCATGGGTATACTACACATTTATACCTTTTGCTTTTCAAGCTATCAAATATAAAAAATGGACCTGTTAACAAGAAATGTATGTACGATCTTACTTGTATGTAACTACAAAGACTTTCTAATCAATTTAGTAGTGTATTATAAGAAAGTACAAATTTGTGAAGAGTTATTAGAGAAATTAAACCAGAACATACAAAAAAAAGACTGTATTTGAAAGTATAACAGAGAGTTTGCTTATACCCTATAAGTTTTATGATTTTTATCTATTCTAAATTGCCTTTACCTTGGCAGACGTGTAGGTCCTGTTAGATAAGTGTACAAAAAAGAAAATGTTTTGTGTCAGTAAAGCAACTATCCACCAGAGTTATATATAAGCAATTATAAATCGCCGTATGGACTTAAAAAGATTCCCCGACATGAAAAATATGATACAATTCAAACGAGAAAACTCACGTCCTAGTTTATAACAGTACAATTTACAAGAAACAGTTATGACAGACATAAACCTACGACAACCACTGAATTACAGGTTCAAGACCTTGGACAAGATTGTGTCGGGTTTAAATATGTTTGTGAGCGTTCAACATTTCTCCTAGCCTGAAACAATGTGTTCACAGACTGATACTCAGGTGAAATTCAAACATAATGTTGTTATGTTAGCTATAGTTTTGTTTATTATTTAAGTCAACTAGTGTGCACCTTTTAATTATCGTCGGTGATTATGTTCACAAATATAATATCCAGTCTATACAACACGGATACCATTTAATTTCAATTAAACACAAAAGGTAGAATAAATAACATAAAGTCCAGTATAATTAATAGAATAGAGAATGGGAAAGACGAATGTGTCAAAGAGACAACAACCCAACAAAAGATCAGAAAACAACTAATGTATACTAGTTCAGCGAAATGGACGCCACACTGAACTCCGAAACATACAAATGAATAAAATTTAAAAAACACACAAGCCTAATAAAAGCTGGAGGTTCCTGACTTGGAATATATGCAAAAATGCGGCGATGTTATACAAATTTAATGAGATCTCAACCCTCCTCCCAGAGGAGGGGGCGACAGCCTTAGGTGCTGTGTGCAAATTTTTGTAGGTCACGTGGTACGATTTTAGCGTCCCTCGACAATTTTGAATCTGGAAAAGATCGATTTGTTCATGCTTTTATATCAAATATACTCTCTTGCACTCGCAGAAAATATAGAAAGTTTTGAAATAAAAAGATTAATCAATGATAGAAGATCACTTTATATGAAATATTTTCTTCGTGTTTTTTTCTTTAAAGTAAATTCTATCAATAAAGAAATGCACTGTAATGGCGGGAAATTTTATTCGATCTCTGCGAAATCACGAGGCACAGATTTTTGTAAATTTTACAAATGTCAGCACGTGAAAATCATTCAAATTTATGTCAATCAAAGAACACTATTCAAACATTCTAAATCTTCTTAAGTCTCATTAAGTCTCCAGCCTTTGCTTCGTAACAAGTTGCTAAAATATGATTTCCGGTAAGTAAAATATCCAAAATATTTGTCAAATCCGCGAGTAATTATGTTATTTTAGGCATATAAACTCTTATGTATTTTAATTATTTTGAAAACAAAATGAAAATTTTGTCTTAGGAATAACCATTATGAAAAAATATAGTTTATTATAATTGAATCGTGCATTATTTGTGTATTGGATTGCTTAATTGCCTTCTCTCTAGTGTTATCTCTGTTTTGTTTACTGACAAATAACTAAATAATGAAATAATTAAAATTTAGTATTTTACAAAACTTTGTCCCGATTAGAAACTTTAAACCGACTGAATAAATTGAGAATTCAGTGATCATCGATGTCGAAATTAGCCCTTGGTAATAAACAGTCAGTTTGGGTATAAATATGTTTATTGCCAAGAAATAACTAACAAATTTGTTTATTATGTATGTACAAAGTATATGTATATTGCATGATCAGCCCTTATTTCGCTTGTCCAAGTATCATTAACGGTGATGTCCACACCACGAGTAGTTTGAAATAAATGTCACAATACCACCCGACCGATCGATAATATTAGACAAATCTGCGTGCCGTGTTCAGAGTGTCGTCCCTCCTCTACCCTCTTCCTATACCTCTAGCCAATGTAGAATAAACAAATACAAAACAATACGCACAATAAAACGAAGAGTTTTAAGCATAAAGCATGGGCGCTGAATACGATAGCTGGTATAATAATTAGGAAATATCATCAACTTTAATTAACAATTCATATTTATAAATCAAATAGCTATGGCGAAATACGTTCAAAATAATAGCTTAAAACTAAAGCCTAAATTTTAGATGCTTCAATGTGTAACAAAATAACGAAACAAATCTTGAGAAAGCCGTAGTTATAAAATAATAATATAAGTTGAAAACTAAGCACTGTTAATAGATATAGGAAGATGTGGTATGAGTGCCAATGAGACAACTCTCCATCCAAGTTATAATTTATAAAAGTAAACCATTATAGGTCAAGGTACGGCATTCAACATGGAGCATTGGCTCACACCAAACAGCAAGCTATAAAGGGCCCCAAAAAATTACTAGTGTAAAACCATTCAAACGAAAAAACCAACGGTCTAATCTATATAAAAACGAGAAACGAGAAGTATACTTTGCAGACGCATTCGCAGTTTATTGTGGCGGATATTCATTTCCTGTTCCTGTTTGTGTTTTCTGGTAATTGTAATTCGAATGACTTTGGTAGTGATTGTGACCATCGGTTTTCAGATTCGACGGAGAAGCTGGTTTCACCAATCTGTCTCGTTCAGTCGACACACCTGCAATAAAACAAATTTGATTAATTGAAATAAAATATATAGGCATCTATTGTTTGTCAATACATATGTGTGTTTGTGTTTGAATTTTTATTTCCATTTGTAAGCTTCATAAACATACAATATATCAATTCAAGAAATTAGCTTACAAATGTAAACAACACAGGTAAATACCGTCTAAACGTCTTGTAACTCTGCCCTTTTAAACCGGCGTTTTGCATTTGCGCCGATCTGCATTTCATTTGCGCCGATTTTTTTTTCATTTGCGCCGATTTTTTTACAGGTAAATTACAGGTAAATTACAGGTGAATGTTATTTTTCATTTATCATTATAGACCTCTTCCGTTCGCTAGTTGTACAAATGTTATGAATTGTCAATCATAACATGTATATAACTGTTGTCCTCTGCTCACCACGGGGAGGTGGAAGTAGACAAAAATCTACTTGAACTCAATTTCATGAAAGACTGCTATAAACGGCAGTCATTTAGAGACCTTTTAAACATCAATTTACTTGATCTAGACACTGAATGTTGTTGATAGAGCAATGTACTCTCCGCCAGAAAATGCATAACGTATCTAATAAAACAAGTCTTTATATGAAAATCATTCACGCGTTACTTGCATGCAATTTAATCCAAATTTATCAATGTTTATCAAAAATCTCCAATGATTTTAAATAAAATTGAAAATATTAACAACAAATGATGCCTTATTATTCTAGTAAAAGACATTAAGCTGTTAGGTATTATGATGTGTGTCATAATGCTATATTATGGCAAAATTGATTAATGTCAATTTGGTAACACCTACAAATTCACGTTATATATATATGGAGAACAAATTCTTCAAAATAAACACAACTGTGCACAATTGAAAAAATGAAAACAACACTTTACAAATTGTATGCGTCCGAAGCGATTTTCTGGATTAATCCCAATCAGGAACGCTCAGAGCCGAATATTTGAAAGCAAAGGATGTATAAGAACTAAAATCATACCATTAACAAGTAAAAATCTACGTCGTTTTTGTCTATACACGATACCAGCTGTGACTACCAGTCCAACAAAGAGCATCACAGCAATCAGAATTCCAATGGTAGCTCCAGTAGAGTCACAGCAGTGTTTCATACCACCGCGTTTATAGGCACCGCAACAGCCAGCAAGACAGTACTCATAATGCATGGTTGTATTTGTGTAGAATTCAAACGGGTTTGGAGTGAACACGTTCATGTGTTCATAGTAGCATGATCCTGCATACACTCCAGCTTCAGAGAAAAAAGAGACTTTTGTAAGACGAAATAAATCACAATAAAATACAAACAGGCGAATTCCGTTTGTAAGTAATCTAACAAATCTGTTTGATGTACTGTTTACGCCAAGCATAGTTATAAAAGCAAGTGGAAATAAAAAATATGTATGAAAATGGATATCTTATGTAAAGAAAATAACAAGGAATAAAACATTCATCTACTTTGGCTTAGGGAGATATAAAAAATTGTTCACCGTTGAAAATTCATATTTCCTTCTTGCGATGCCCTCATGTGATATACAGTTTCTTGGCTAAACAAATCTGAGTCTCTCTCTCTATGGCAAGGATAAACTAAATGTATAATACTTTCATACATGAAATTTTGTTCTGTCTATCTGAATATGATACCGTTGTTTTTAACTAACCTAGTGATATTTCAATCCTTAAAAATAGATGAAAAAAGCGGAACTGTCGAATATCTGTCCGTTGTTTCATAAAAACAAAATAATGATATCAAGCTGAAAATTTGGTTCTAATAATTTGGCTTATAAAGAAAATCTGGATTTATTGTGTTTTATTTAACATTTATATATTTATTAACTGTAGCGCAAACATTTATAAAAATGACTTAAATTAAAAAAAAAATATATCAACACAGGATTAACGTGCAAAAATATGTTGATATGCTGAAGGACTGATCTTTCCAAACATTATGACATTTTTAGATTGAGGGGTGATATTCAGCAATCCATATTAGATGTGATCTATACCAAAAGTTGAGAAAGCTGGGAATACATACATGTTTAAGCAAAGCTGCAAAAAAAAAAACAGTTCAGGATAAGCTTTCTTTGAAAGAGGTGCAACCTTTGTTTAACTAATCAAGTATCGATTAAGCTGTCAGATTTTATCTTTCAGTGAAGGTATTTCAAGAAATAGAACTTATATAGAATGTTATAAGTAAAGATTTAAAAGAACAGTTTGAAAACACTACAACATTCTTTAAGGAGTTCGCTTGTCATGTTTTGGATTTTTTGTCAGATTTTCGGAATCTTCTGATTTTATCCATTTGAATGCCTTAAAAATTTTGCCCGCTAACCCCTATTTTTCTTTTCATAATTTTATTACACATAGTTTAAAAAGCCATATTTGAAAATCATATGAAATCCTTGTTATTTTTTCATAATTTTTAAAAGAAAAAGGGTGCCAATGTTAAATGTATAAAATGTCTAGAGAGAATTATATCCAATTTTCAATGGCTTATATCTCGAAAACAAGCACACGGACCCTTAATTTTTTTCTGCCTTTTTAATTCCTTTGTTTATATACTATCAATTTATACCAGTCTTTTAAAAAGCTTGTTATTTTGAAACAGAGCAGCGAACATCCTTAAGGAGTCCTAGTCCAAATTAGTTCTATATAATATGTTGCTATGTGTTTCTTTATTCTACATGGGATAGAGGTATAGGGGGAGGGTTGAGATCTCACAAAACATGTTTAAACCCGCCGCATATTTGCGCCTGTCCCAATTCAGGAGCCTCTGCCCGCCTTTGTTAGTCTAGTATGTTTTTTAATTTTAGTTCATTTATATGTTTTGGAGTTTAGTGTGACGTCCATTTTCCCTGAAATAGCACAGAATTTTATTTAGGGACCAGCTGAGGACCACCTCCGGGTGCGGAATTTTCTCGTTGCATTGAAGACCCATTGGTGGCCTTCGGCTGTTTTCTGCTCTTTGATCGGGTTGTTGTCTCTTTGACATATTCCCCATTTCCATTCTCAATTTTATTTCAATTACTATATTCGAACAAAATATCTGTGAGTGAAAAATACAAACAAATTTTATTAGAACAGTATTAAACACTTACTGATGAACGACAACAATATCCCTTTTATCATCTTTCTCGTGTTCTCTATTTCAAACTGGTAACTTTATCAAACGTTCTTGTTGCCCTCACGAGTAACAATCAAGGCGGAAACTTTTTTTGTGTTTCCTGCCATCTAAATAGTATAATAGAATAATGCTATTTAATGGGAAACGATATTATTGTTATGAATGGTTTTAATTTAGAAACATGTGACGTGTGCCCTGGAACGAATATAATACGTTTATGTTTAGTTAAAGGTCAACAGGTAAAGTTTCTAATTGTCGATTTGAACAGATATTTAAGAAATAAACTTTCTAGCTAGTACATAAACCTATAAATGGTGTACATACGCAATTTCTTTTCAAGTAACATTTAATAGATAATATAATGATGCCTGATTCAAGCGTCACTGCCTTTGAATTTTCTTTTAAAAGCAATATATTTTGCAACTCTTTTGCATACAAAATAAGTGAAGTCATTATATCTATCTCATAGTGTCTCATCCTTTATTAGTAAGTATTCCGATATTTTCTCTGTCATTTATCTGTATTAATTTCAGGATGTATATAAAGTGCTAGCAATATCTATAATGGTTGATACTCAATTGACATTAACTAATAGAAATGATAAGATTCTCTAGTAAAGAAGGTAAAACGACCAAAAAGGCATGTTTGGAATGTTTACATTTGTTATTTCGGTCATACATTTCATTCACTGTATATTTGAGGAGTATTTTTTTCAATATACATCTATTTAAAATCAAATTGTAGAATTGACCTTAACATGATACAATTGATTTTGTATTCGAAAACTCACTGACGCAGTTTCAACACGTTCAATACGGGGGCGGAGGGACCCACATCAAAAAAAGGGGAGACGGCAATTAAAATAACCACGACAAATTTCAGTCAGAAGAGAGGTTGGCTCAACCCACCTTACATACGCCCCTGCAACCAATACTGTAGTCATATCACAAATGATTTTAGTAGGTGACGCTTTTGTGTCCATACTTTGTCTTTGACCGAATCTACCTTATGATCATGTAATTATGTATACTGAAAAAAAGAAAATCTTTGATCAACTTTTGTCAACTAGTTTACTATGGAATCTAGGATAAAAAACGAAAGATACCAAACAGCCGGAACGCAATCATCTGATTTGTCCGTTAAAACCCCGGATATGCGACAAGAGAATCAAGTGGAGATAATTTGAGGAAAAGCTGTCAACAGATGTCGCTCCGCGAAAAAAAAAGAACATTGGCCGTGAATGACACATCGAAAAATCGCAAATTTCATTTAAAATAAACGGAATTATAGACCGATCTAGAACATATTTCATCTAAAGTATTAAAGCAAAATAAATTTATAAAAAAAGCGAGATGACATAAGCCATTTAATTAAATTCAAGCGATTATTTCCATTTTGTGAAACGGACATTTTTTTCACATCGACTGCCCTGGTCAATTTTTCAGCTCAAAACGAATCGTCACACCGCCGGTTTACCTAGTGAAAATTAATACAAGTAATAGCTTTTCTAAAAAGCTTGCCGTATTTTAGCTGCTTATATTGAGATCGGTGGTTTGTGGGTATAGGTTTTTTTTATTGGAATCTTGCATTCCAAGTATTAGAGTATATAGTGTCTTTTTTCCCTGGTTTTTGATTTTAGTTGTAGTATTGGTGAATCAGGGTTATCATTAAAGGAGGCTTGATAGTCACATATGATAATATATATATATGGTTTGTAATAGCCAGAGTAACGATACAGACACTTTTTTCTTTGTTTTATGTTTATATGATTGTTTACTCTTTATGACAATGCAAGTAGTTTTAACATGCATACTGTGTTTTGACAGTTATGTAATAGTTAGCAAGGTTACAATCAAGTTGATAAGAAAAACGTATTATTTACTTTTGAGGATTACTGCTTGACAAAATGGACTACCAGTGGCAGATCTAGAAATTTTCATAAGAGGGGGCACGCTCCAGTCATGCTTCAGTGATTCACTACATATATATATATAACAAAAGTTTTCCCACAAAAGTGGGGGGGGGGGGGGGGGGGGGTCCCCTGAAAAACTCTCTAAATCCGCCTTTGACTACTATAGTTGGCCGTTCAAATATGAGAATATTACATCTTATATGTATAGAAGACAGTGGTCTCTTTCTAAAGCCCAAAATAGAAGGGCGCCGCACCCTGGGTGCCTTCAATTGTGCTACTCCCTGACGCCTTTTTCTAAGGGGGTAGAATAGAAAGTTTATTTTGCTTCTTTTGGTTAATAGTGATCTGATGTATGAATGTGTATTGCCATGTTTTATGAACATGTAGTATGAATGACTTTTCTAATGCAAGTTTTATAGAATAAATAATCAAAACAACAACGTATGCATCTTTATTAACAACATATACAGAAAAAAAAAGGTGAACTCGTGATACACACAGAAACGTAGACATAAGAAATGAGAAGTGCCTTTTCCTATCATAAAAAAGTGCCCTGCCCCTTTCTATTTCTAGCTGGAGCACTTCAAGTGATGAATATCTCATCCGGCTTTTGTCTTAGAAGAAGCAATTAGTTTTGAAGGTACAGGTTAAGTGTTGTTATTACTAATTTCCAGATGTAGTATAACTGTAAGAAGATGTTTTGTGGTTATGGATTTGGAATGAAATATTAATTGCAAATAATTTTCTAGAACATGTTGTCAGCTGGCTTCTTATATTTTTTATTATTTTGTTGCGGTTTGTAATCTTGGCATTTTTTTTGTAAGTTCTATAAATGTAGATGAGAGCTTCATATTGGTATTATCATTTAGTGCTTTATATTTGGTTGCATGTGTAAGCATATGCTTTTGTTAGTTGGAATATTAATATTTTCATTTCTGATTGCAACACGTTCATGTAATACATATAGTCAGGATTATTAGTAAGCGGTAGTTGTTTTGTTTGTTTATGTTTAATGAAAACTGATATGGACTATATAGCTTGCTGTTTGGTGTGAACCAAGGCTTCATGTTGAAGACCCTACTTAAACCTATAATGGTTTACTTTTACAAATTGTGACTTGGATGGAGAGTTGTCTTTGGTACTGATATGACATTCTGTAATATCTATCGACAAGATTGAGAACACATTTTTTTTGTAATAAAACATATTTAATTCTATGATATCATATTTAACAATTTATCGGTAATTTGTGCATTTTTCCTTTGATGTGTACTCTCTGATAGTGTCAGCATCAGTTGACTGGTCGTGATATATAAATTATTGGGTCAGTTCGCAATTGACATGCTCGGGTGCGCTGTGTCAGGATCTTCTTTCCCCTTTCATTCACAAAATCATGCATGATTTTTTTTGGCAGAATCGCAAGAGTGTTTTGGTAAATGAAACACTTCTCATATTGTTTGAAAGTTTCAGTAAAGTTAGTTTTAACTTTTTGACATATTGTGTGAAAATTCGAACAGAATATGAATAAAAAACCCAATAAAATTTTTAAAAATGCACTATTATTAATAGCTTTCCTTGCTTATTCACAATGATGTACAAAATGTATAAATATATCATCCATGCTATTCCGATCTGAGTTTTATTCATACATAGTCTGGTGCTGTTCCAAGTAGTCTTCTTTTTCTGTTTCTTGAGAAGTATTTGTTTTACCAGTTCAGTCACTATAAAGTGTTACAATTAATATTTAGACACAACACAGAATAGTGATCAAAAAGGTACTGCTATCATATGAGAGGAGCTAGAAAAAAAAATAAAATGTACATTTTTTCAACATTTTTGTGGGACCATGAAGATGTGGTTTCATTGTCAATATATAGACAGATATTCGTAGACCAAATAACAAATAAGCAACAAATTCAAAAGTAGATGAACGATGAATTATAGAAAGAAGGGGTACCCAAGGGCCCCAAACTTGACAAGGTTTGGTTTGGAACAAGTAATATGTCTGCATTAACATTAAATGTAGGTTTTAAAAGGAGGACCCAGATCGCCTTTCCCTAAATCCTTTTCTGAAATTAAAGGTAACCGCATATTTCTGGGCGCAGTTGAAAAATAAATGATCATGACTTTGAAAAAGCAAGAATATTAAGCTAAAAGAAATAGACCAAATTTGGATGACATCTATTAAAATGTTTGAAATAATTATGAAGTTGACAAGAAATGAACTTGTTCAGATAATATACAGTCAGCCTACAGACTTGTTGCCTCCTGAAATGTCTGCTTACACAGTTCTTTCCTAAAATAATTTGTAATGAGTTTTTTCATGATGAATGCTGAGCAAACATAGATTATGCCGTTGGTTTCTCGTTTGAATTGTTTAACATTGTTATTTCGGGGCCTTTTATAGCTGACTATGCAGTATGGGCTTTGCTCATTGTTGAAGGCCATAAGGTGACCTATAGTTGTTTATTTCTGTGTCATTTTGGTCTTTTTTGGAGAGTTGTCTCATTGGCAATCATACTACATCTTCTTTTTTTTATATTATAATGACAAGATAAATGTTATGTTATCCACCCAACTAAGTAACATATATAACTTCTCGTTGAACTTCTAAAACAATGATAAATCTGCTGATTCATATCGTACAAATGTATCATTCAATGCTGTCAGATGCTATGTGAAAAATAAAGAAATTTACCTTAATGTATGCTTCCATTATGTTCGGCATTGTTATTCATTTATGTCCAAAGCAGAACTTATGAAAGGCATGCAATAGTTTATTTTCAATAGATGCATTTGAAAAATTTATTTTCGGCACTAGTTAAGCGACGTCTATGTTCATGATGTCATGTGATCATCTATATATATAAGAATATTTCATTAGAGTTGATTTATTAAAGATTGCTTTGAATCCTACTTATTGCTATTTGTCTGCAATTACTGGCCATCACAAAGGTTCTTGTAAAATTTTGACGTCATAATACAAAATATCTGACGCCACAATGGAAAAGTGATTGTTGTATGATGTCAATGGTTGATGCGGGACAGATTCTCAGGTCAGCTGGGACAGAATTCCATAAAGCGATTAGGTGTATGGTTATTATGTATGGGTACTATGTTCAGGAGAATGAATTCTAATATATATACGTAAAATACCGGTTCGGTTTTGGATTAACATCCTGGATCTGGATTT